CCTCTGCAATTCAACTTCAAATGTCAATGCGCACTGCTAGTGCCAGTATGGGACTCAAGAGTCCCATTCTGCTCTTCTTCACAAATACTTCATGAACCTCCTTTGTACCTTATTCTTCTACAAAATTAATGAAAAAGCATTTTTGCCTTACTGGGATAAATAAGCATAACATATTCTAGAAAGAAGGACAAGGGCCCAGCAAATCTTGCACAGAGTGCTCTCCTGGGAAGCAGTCACTGAAAAGTAGCTGGAGTCTGTAGTGGACCACAGCAGTTATTTCTTTGATACAGTGACTAAAACAGAAAATCTAACTCCTGATTGCCCAAGTGAGAAAATATTGAGAAACGGGGGAGGTTTATACTTCCTCTGTATCTGGCACTGATGAAAACCATGTGGGATTGTTGTATGTGGGTTTTGTGTTCTAAACTTGAAAAGAGAAATGAAAAATCAGGGATTTCATAGGATAGACATGAAATATGATTAAAGGATTAGGACACTCTCCTTCTAATGCAGGGCTCAGGGATTTCCACCTATTTATCCCTTCAAAGAGAAGGCAAATGAGGGCACTTCACATACCTTTCTATGCAGTGAATATGCCTTTAAAAATGCATGGCTTTGCTCTAGGAGACAAAGATCCAAGAGCTGCAATCTTAATATATAATTAACTGTAACTAGCTATCAAGAGGGTTACCCAGCATTATGGTAAGCTTTTTGTTAATATTTATATCAAGACGTGATGTTTCCTCCTTAAAATGATACATTGAGGAGCTAGTTTGGGATAATCTGCTGTCCATTATACAGGAAATTAGACTAGAAGATCACGGAAGTCACTTCAGGCTTTTTAATCTATTTGAATAGTTTATATAAACTTAGTTTAATTGGTCCTTTTGATTGTTAATAAACAGTATTTTTAATGTTTCATGTCTGACTGCAGCCTCACCTAATCTCAATTATTTCTTACTGTATGTGGGTGGTGGGACTTTGTCATCCTACCAGCACCTCCACCTTCATCCCTAAGGCTTGTATCATTATGCTGTTACACAACCTGCAGGGTTGATATTGTTGATATGATGCCAACCACAGTCATTGGAAGATGGAGTGATGGTGTTGCTGGAGGTCCCAACAAAGCTGCTCTTGATCACAAGTTGTTTATCAAGCCCAAGTTGTATTCCACTTTTTTAAAAACGTAAGTAGAATAAAGTGCTCAGGTGATTGTAATCTCTTCACAGATCTCTGTTGAGGATTTTTAGCACATCATTCTCCTGGATTTTTTTATAGCTAAATATATAATTTTACAGCCTGCACTTTTATCCAGGTTGAGGCTGATATTTACAATTTTCTTCTCACTTGTTCATTGAGCTGTATTTTGCTTGGTAGTCCTGGGAACAGACTGCCACCCTGACAAGGATGAACATCGCTGCACCCACTGACTATGCTGTTGTTTCTCTGTGCACCTGTCCAGCTTTGCATGGAGAGGAGCTTGTCCTTAACAGCTCCTCACGAGGAAGCAGTCCATCTTGTCTTGGGAGCAATGATTTGCTTTCCTTTGGGCTCAGGATCTTTAATTTCATTATGCCTGCTGGCAGAGATGAAACACGATAATGCTGTTGTTTCAGGCAAGATGTTAATTTGGTACCCTCACCCACTAGTTGTTTCCCTAGGTATGATTCTGCCTTAGGAAGAGGCAGGCACTCCACTGCTCTGTGCAGTTCAAAACTCCTTCATGTTTGCGTGTATGAAGTGTCCCCATTTGTCTTCTTTCCAAAAGCAAGCTGCAGGAGACAACCCTCTTTACTTCTTTTGTTATCCCGTATTTTGGTGCCAGTTAATCTCCTGTTGCCTTCCTGAACTGTCTGTCCTTTAAATACTGCTCACATTTCCAAGAACTTTTTAGCAATCGTGACATAAATGTCAATGCTACTGGGCATCCTAGTGTGTTCTCAAACCAAGCTTCCACCTACAGGGATTTGGAAAAATCATTACATTATAGTACTAACAGGGGACTGCCTGGCAGAAACCAAACTACGTACTTAGGGTGAAAATTATTTCAGTAGGTTTTAAGAAAGCTTTCCTACTAGGTAAAGCCTTTGCATGAAGCCAAGATAATCCTGTGACTACTAATAAATTTAGAAAATTTGTTTTGGAGCAGAACTTGCTACAGTATACCAGAAGTGAACCCACAAAAGGAAGGAAATGAACAGTTTGAGTCTGTTAATAGTAAATACTCTTTATCACTCCACCCATAAACATACATTTTACTTGCACCACTACTACAGTATCCTAGACCAAATGTAAGAACCATAATACTTCAGGGAGTTAAACATATTAAACTCCAGGATGGAGTTAGGTTATGGGAATGAGCTGGCTAATGGGCAGTAAATAGTACCACAAGACTATACACTTAATAAAAAGGATTTAAATCCAGCAAAACTACCCTACCCATTATCTGAGCATGCTGAAGATCTTGCACACTAAATGAAGGACTGTCCAGTTAGTGATTAGAGACAGTTGTAAAGGATAGCCATACGTAGGGCAAATCAAAGTTGCACAGGCAACTGTAATTCCTATATTTCCTCACTTTTGAATGCTTTATTTTACAATATTAGATCTCTTCAGCTGTACCTTTCTTTTTATAAGTGGCATATTTGTACATCCATATACACAACTTACTGGAATACTCCTCAGTGTTAAGCCGTCTGGGACGTTATGATATCCGTGTTTGGAGTAGAAGGAATCCAAGGATCTGTTCTGATGCACGTACTTTCCTTTCAGTCCACAAGATGTTTTTTATAAGCCTGCAGAAGAAAACAACAACAACAACAAACATGCAATTGAAGTTAAAATGGAGTAAACTGGGATGTCTAATACATGCAATGGAGGTCAATGGCCGAGCTGCAGAGAAAGCTGATTATCTGGCAGAGTCTGGGGCATCTGCAGGGACAACTTCCTTCTGGGAATATTCTAAACAGAAAATTCAAACCTCACTGAGATACAAAACTGTATCAGTAATCAAAGAAACACTATGTGTTTTTTCTTTAAGAGGAAAACCAAGAGTTCTAATTGAGAGCATCAACAAAAAATGCCTATGTGCAAAATAGGTTACTAGCTTATACATTTATTTATTATCACTTTGACTACATTAGGTCCAGTTTTCAAGGCTGTTGAGCATTTGCCAATTACATAATTTTCAACTGTAATTATGAAAGATCACTTTCAGAAAAGCTGACTTTAATTTTTGAAGCCCAATCCAAAAGGATACTGGAAAACGAGGACTCACCCTTCTGATTGTCCTTTAACAGTTTCTTCTGATGGAGTGATGCTGGTAACATAAGAGCTTTGCTAGATAGCTTTTGAAAACTGGTCTCTCAAGCTTAGAAAATCTGTGTGAAGAAAGCAATAGTTATCATTCAAACTTGACGCCAGACTCTAATTATTACTTTAAATAAACAGCATCAACAGGATTTTTTTTTTTAATATCTTTGGTAAGCAGTAGTAGTGACACCTTCATCCTCTTAGAAGAAATATATTGCTCTTCTGCTCAATACCTTGCACAAGTACATATAACATTTTTGCAGTACATTTGTAAATTTGTCAACAGTTTAGCTCTTCTATTTTTTTTACTTAGCTGATCTTACTGTCATGCTTCATCCAATACTGCATTCAAATTACATTGGACTTGCTTCAAATGCTGTTAGCACATGAAATTTCCCTTGCGTTGGGAAGAAATCATACTTAGGTTATACTTGGTAAGGGCTATGAAGATGCTCAGTTTCACTCTGCCTTTACCACATTGGTTTAACTAATCTAATCATGTTGGTTGTGCTCAGCAGCTGTATGTTGGTGAACGTCACTTGATCCCACAAAGTGCTGTGCTCATATACTGAGAAAAGTCTCAGGCCATGAGATAAAGATTACTTTCTTATCAGCGATACTGTGTTTCACCTTTATTGCACTATCTGTCTAGCTAACAGTTATTTTCCTTGGACTATCAAACTAATCCCACAAACTAATAGCATTACTACATGAGTTTAAAAGCAGCCAAACCACACGTTTCATTTTTTATTTCATACATGGTGATTTTTATACCTGGTGGTAGTTAGATGTGAGGGCGCTGGAAACCAAAGGAATTTGGTATTAAATAAATATTGCATTTTCTTGAAAAAAAAAAAAAGTTATCTGTTCCTGCAGGATCTTTCGCAATGCTCTCAATAAACAAACAAGCAAACAAACAAATAAAAATCTTGAACCTTCCCGGAGAAGATTCTTAATGTCTTCACTGCTCATCTTCCTCAATGCTAACAACCGTAGGACTGAGGCGATAAAGACAGCTTTCAGTCTTCATTCTGATAGAGACAGTCTTTGAGAGGCTCTTAAATTACTGATGTGTGAAAAAATATAGCTGTGAAGGTGGGGATATTACTGCTTATGGACTAGGGCACTGAAATCAAACCCATAAGCAGTGAGAGGGTCAGCATTCACCACGAGGAGAAGCATCCATCCCTTCTTGCCTGCCTAGCCTCTGCCGAAGAAACTGCCTGCACCAGTGGCTGCTCTGATGTCTGTCCCAGCAGCCAGCCTGGCAGTGCTGTGGACAAGGTTGTGGTCAAGCCAGGCTGTGAAAATCCTGCTGGAGACATTTCCAGTGTGTCGGGGCTATGGTACCATCCTCTGAAGACGGTTTGTGTCATAGACCATGGAAGGTTCAGATTTTATCCTCCGGTTTGTATGTGTGATTCCTATGTCTTTGAAGTTCTGTTCCCACTGAAGATGAAGGCAAACTCCCACTGGCATTAATGGACTTAGGATGTGTCCTTGTCTCAATTTTTGCTGTTGTTTCCTTTGTTGCAGTAGACCTATTCCTTTATTAAAGCTTTTGCCTAGGGGGAAAAAAAAGCCATGTTACTAAATAAATTATGAAATATTTACATTTATGGAGCCAACCCCTTATGCCTAGCTCCTCCTCTGATATTACAATGACAGTTTTTATAGAGCTACTGCTTCTGCACTGCCATTACTCCTCTGTGGGATCCAAGACTGGGAAGCTAGCACACAGCGGGCCACCATGAGCCAAGTGACAGTAAGTAAAATGCTTGCTGGCTTTGACTCAGTGCAGGGCAAAACTACGGTGCTAGACCACTGGTGGCTTGTTCATACTGGAGAACCAAGCAGGATCAAGATGTAGGAAGATATGAACCCACAGAAAATATAAAGCTGGGGAGCTTTCTAAAGTAAACTTTATTTTTATCTGAGAATAAAATGCTACAAGTTGTAGAGGTACATGTGATAATCCAAAGAGTGAAGTGTTAAAGGCATCAGTTTGCTTATCACTGTTTATGTTATTTTGTACTTAATTTTTTTTTTTGCCTGCAGTTTTCTTAATGAGATGAGAATGGTTTTAGTGTCATGGTCCATAACAAAATGGTCTGCAGTTACTCTTTTCATGTTTTGCACCTCTTGTTTATGTTGTACTTTTATTGGTTTTAAATCTTAGTAGTAGCTTCCTTTAAAAAAAAAAAAAAAAAAAAGAGTTGTAGCATGTTGCTCAAATGTGTGTGGTTTGAACTGTTTAGTTTAGCTTATAAATTTCTCCCTCCTACTTTTATATATTTAGTGTGTTTGCCTTTGACTTGCCCCACCTCTTGTAGGTTTGGTAACAAACAGGTAGCAGCTTCCTCTGTGGGTGTTTGGTTTGTTTGGTTTTTAATACTTGGCTAAGTCACTTCAGTTTGTGCCTTTTGTTGTTTTTTTTTTTTTTCTTTTTTTTTCCTCTCTCTGTGGCATAGCCTGTGGAGGCTACATTTGTAAAATGGATAAATGTTAAGTGAAACAAGCTGCAAATGGGATTTGTGCACGATTAACTCCTAATGGTTCTCTGTGATCAAAATTGAGGTCTCTGACCCCCCCCCCCCCCCCCCCCCGCCCCCAGTGTATCTCCCACCCTAACGCTCCTTCTGCTCTCCCCTTCCTTTGTCTCTCTTGATCACTTTCAGTTGTCTTGTTCCCTCTTCTGAGTTTTTTCTCCTAGTTCTCTGCTCTGATTTCTCTGGTACTTCACATCCTTTGGCAGTAATGAGGAGGGCAGGTTGGTGGGCAACAGGGAGCACAGCTGTAGTAACTGTCCCTATTTGCTGTGCAGCATTTCTTACCTGCTTTTTCCTTGCAAAATGGCTCATGCAAAATTGTCAGTTCACTCACCTTAAAAATCTTACTTTCATGCAACAAATAATCAGAGCAGTTTGAAAGCAAGAGAGGAAAAGGTGCAGATTTCATTTGCACAGTGCCCAGGATTTCTAAGGTCAGAATGAGCAATGGAGAAGTTTCCAGGGCAAGGAAAGAAACAGTTCCTGAAAAGCGCACTGAGCTCAGTGTTCTTAATCCTCAACATGAAGCAGTGGGCACTGGAGCTAAGCAGAAGCATCCTAGTGCAACAGATACATTTTTGAAAGTGCACTATGGAAAAAGAAATACTGATTTTTGGCTGATAGAACCTTAACCCAAATAGGAAACCCAAAAAAAAGCCAGATACAGAAAAGCCCTGGAGCTAAATACTTTCAAACTTTGGAAAGTCAGAAGTACAGGAACAACAACAAAAAACAACACACTTGATGACATGGCTTTTAGTGAGCTTTTGACAGTTTTTGGACGGTGATGCATAAAATGTGTACTGCTGTAATGCGACATGATTATCTGAGGGCATTAATACATGTGAAGACAAATCTTCTGGTTAATACATGATGATGCAGAACTGTGTTGCTAATTTGCATGCACAATTTCTATGATTAATAAATTATGCAATGCTAGCACAAGTGTACTACTGTGAACCACTTGTAGCAACTGCCAGCAATCCAGCAGGCGACACTGAATACTATGCTCTACTCTAGTAAATCTTTGAATATTTGAATACCAGCTTGCAGTTCCCAAACTGCAAAGTGATGAAAGGAGTAGAAGAATGTTTCTCCCTTTTATCTGTCTTACAGGAGATTTGGAATAGTCACTAGTTGCCTTGTGTAGAAATGCAAAATGATCTCAACTGAAAAAAATAAAATCAAGGAGATTTACTAAAATCACTTGAGTGAAAATGTAACAGCTGTTTTAGAGCTAAGATTTATTTTTCAAGTCCTAGTGTTTCTCATTTAACACTTTGAGTAAAATTAAGGTATCAAATATGCATAGGATATGCTAGATATGCATATATATATGCATAAATATGCTGGAATAACATGCTCTTTACACTGGGATAAATCAGTTAAAACAGTAGATAAGCATATAATGGGCCTGCAAAATAAATAAATAAATAAACAAACAAACAAACAAATAAATAAATAAATATGTATGTATGTATGTATTATGAACTACCTCCTATCTGAGGCCAAGATCTGAAAGTGCTACAACTGGTTTCTGAGGTCATATGCAGCAGCTATTACTGCTGAAGGATTCTGAGAATATTCAGCAGAGTAGGCCTTTAACCTGGTATCTCTGATCTAAGTAGGAAAATGTTAGATATGGCTAATCTGCTTGGGGTATCAGAGTATCTATAATATACTGATATTGATAGTCTAGCTTGAAATCTCAGATCTAGCTCCCTGCCTTGCACTATGGAGAGTTTATTCGCTGCTACAAGATTTTATTTTCCATGCTTTGCCTAGCATAAATTCCTATTCCTATACATTCTCATTTTTAATTTTCTGTCTTTTAAAGAAATCTCTTGTGAAATACAAGAGGCGCATCATATTCTTGCATCATGTTCTGAGCACAGTTAGGCTTTGGCTTGCACTGAGATTCTAGCAGACACTGCCAGCGTGGCTCTGTCTCCTGAACGTTTTACCCAGGGCATAGGCAGATTACATGTTTGGAAGCAATTACTGTGCTAAGAACCCAGTGATGTATCTTTCCCAGAAGCTGAAAATGAAGGTATAAAAGACATCCACACAGTAATTTATGGGTGTTAACTTATGGATGTGAGTTTCTCTGGGAATAATTATGTGACTACACTAATAATACAATGGATGCTTTGATACATTAAAAAAATAGAAAAATAAAAAAATCTCAAAGCGTTCTTCTTTAGCATTTCATTACTCTCAGGAGTCAGGGATGTATATATTTAAACAGAAGAAAGGGACAATAGAGGCCCATATGCCTTCTCAAAAATAGCGCTGTCTTTTCACACCACAGGCATGCTGAGAAGGCACTTGTTTGACATAAGAGATTGCATTAGAGGTGTTTGCTGGAAACCTCCCGCTCCGAGAGCAGAAAGCTGCACACAGTGCGCTGCTGGTGCAGCAGCTGGTCTGGGCTGCTGGGGGGGCAAGAGAGGCACTGCTGGTAGAACGGGCATCACTGGCTGCTGGATAGGCAAAACCTGCATGGCTCTGCAGGACTTGGGTACTTCTAAAAATGCCCACTTCGAAGCAGACTTTGTTTCAGAAATAGATCTGCAAACCTCTGTGACAAGGCCAGTGGCAGGCTATGTTAGCATACCTCGAAGAAGGGAAGGCTCCCAGCTAAGTCAGAGAAATTTCTCCTCAGACTTCCCTTCACTTGCTGGCAGATGGCTGGCATGGACTCCCTGAGAAGTTCCCCAGCACACTGTTGGAAGGGGTGACTCCCACTGCTAGCTCTCAGGATATTTTCAGTCATCATGAAGACACCTGGAGCAATCCCCCCTTAAAGGCCACCATGTGAAATGGCCTCTGACTGGATGCCTCTGCCTGTTTTCCAGTGGAGTGAGTGCCCAGCTGGAACAAAATTTCACACAGCTTAAGTTTCCACACCTTCACAATCTTTTAGTTTTTGTCCCAACAAAGCTGATGTCTAATCCTTTAGACGGCCTCCTACATTTAAGTCTGTGTAAAACCACCCATTTCCAGCCACTACCCGAAGGATCCCCAGCTACTGGTGCTGCAGGAGAATCCTTGGGGATTCAGAGGAAAACCATCAGGCCTGGTTTTCCAGAGAGGAGGGGAAGAGAGGCATGCTGCCTGCTCTGCAGGGCAGCGGCGGTGGTGAGAGTGGGAGATGCTGGGGCGGGCGGGCATTGCGAGAGGCTGCGTTTGCCTTCCCTGTCGCTTGGGCGCTTGTGATGCGTGCTGGGACAGGGCCCAGTCTTGCCTGAATAATTACAAGGCAATTCCTACCAAACAATGATCCCTGCTGTTGAGTTTGTTGCAAACTCATCTGCATTACAGCAACGTTTAGTGGATTAATAATGTGTGCTTTTGGCCTCTCCTACTCCCTCGGCAAGCAATTTTCATGCGTAATAAATGTTCACATTTAGTCTAACCAGAACAGAGCCCAAGGGTCAGAATAGCCATACCTGCATGCTGAGGGGAAGAGACGCGGGGTTTCCAGGAGGGAAAACAGCTTTCTGCCCTCTTCAGGCTGGGTCCAAGACTTCTGTCCTTTGGCAGCCTCAGCAGGTCCCCACAAAATTGCTGGGTGGGCTGCGCTGGATGTCCCCCTCCACAGGAGCAGCCCAGCCAGAGGGGTCACCATGGGCAGCGAAGGGAGCATGGGGTGGATAGAGTTGTCAAGCATTTGACATTTTGACAAAGAACAGCATATTTTAAAATTAAAACCTTGTAAAAATATGCAAAAATACTTATCTCACACCAGCAATTTATCACAATGCATGCTATGAGGGCATATGAGGTTGAGTTTTACAAAGTGTGTAGTGGAAATACTGGGATATGTAAATATGGACGTTACACAATGTGAGGAAAACTGCATTAAAACTGATTACAGTCAAAAAAAAAGAGAACCAGAACTGCAGCCTTTGTATTGCTACACCAGTGAAATGAGCCTGTACCCACCCTGCCTATTTAGGTGACTGTCATGTAATGTTTCTCCCCATCTTCCCACTGCCGTTTATGCCTCTATAGCAGCAACTAACATGGAGGTGACCAGTCTTGGGCCTATTGGAAGAGGAATGCTGTGAATAATCTTGCTCTATGATAGCTATCAGTTGATCAAATCATTAAGAATAACAATTAGCACTTAAAGCCCAGTGATAGGCTGTTGACTTGTAGCCTGGGGAGCGGGACTGTGACGCAGCACTGTGTCAGCCTGAGGTGGAGACTCCTTGCTGTCGAGCTTCGTGACCCAAATGCTGTGGCTGAGCATCTACCATAGGAAATACAGGTGGAGGAGCCAGTCCGGTGCTCTGATGCCTGATGGAGCACCTCACCAGAGCTGTCCCCAGTGAAGTGTTCTGGCCATTCCTATGCAGTGAGGTCACGCACATGCAGTGCTGTGGGCAAGATACAAGGGTTCATGCAGGTTAGGCCAGTGTCTGCCATGGAAATGGGGAAAAGACAAATGAATTTTATCATGGCTAATCCAACCAGTGTCCTGTCCATCCCACTGCTGAGCATTCTGCCTCACTGGCAATTTTCACTGCCACAAATAGTTGTTACTTGACCACAGCTAGTAAAAAATGAAAAATATATATGTAAATAATTTGACAAGCTTCAGAGGAAAACATAATTAAAAACATAATCAAATTTATCAATTTTTTGTTCATATGCAAGGATAAGAACAAAGTTTATCTCATGCAGAATATCTAAACTATCTACATTATTTTCACTGAGCTATGAGAATTGAGTTTTCCTTCAATCCAGGTCAACTAAATAAAAAAATCCACTCCTGCACAATTCCCATTGTTAAGCAGGCCAGATACAGTCATTTTATTTCTTCAATGCCAGATTAAATAATTTTATTTCTTCAAGCAGTATGAACAAATGTGATCTGATGTTAATTTATTTGGTACTTTGGTTAATTTATTTGGTACATTGCTTGGTTGATTTTACATGATGGAAAGGGAAGGAAATCTTCAACAACTTCTTGTGGTTGTGGGGTATTTCTTTATATCTACTTCCTTTTAAGATGTAGATAGTCAGGGGTATGGACTATAAACACAGCTAAACACAGAAATATTAGCAGGACAGCCAAACCTTCAGACAGGAGTTTATAGCACCAATTTGGGAAAAAAAACAACAGTACAAGTGAGATATACACCTATAATATTTATACATATATAATATACAATATATATAATATATATATAAATATATATTTATTATATATATACTATAATATCCTTAGGAACATAATAAAAGCAGATAAATTTTTGTAATTTGAATCAAAAAATGTATCAGGAGCTTGCAAGGTAGCTCTGTCTTTATAAAAAATCCATGCAATCTTCAAATGCTAAGCCTGAGACTGCAGGTATTGAAAATTAATAGCCGCATTAGTCCTAGTGTGAAAATGTAGGTAACATAATATCTTCCTTCAAATATTTTCTTATTTTATTTTTTTCCCAATTTTCCCCATTTTTCCTTTGGCAGCTATAAAACATTGTAATAAACCACAAATGGCTATAGAGGGAAGAGAGAGACCATAAACAGACCATTTTCTCTCTTAATTTATTTCACTCATTCATAATTCGGACATGTTTATTTGTTTATATGATTACTGCACATGAATAAAAGCACTAGAAATACTCCCAAGATAGTGGTTACAAATTATTTAAAGCTCATTTCTTCCCTAAAAATTAATCATAAAAATGAAGCCTTCTTGTCCGCAGACTACTTGTCTTCCTGTCTGCATCCAATTATGCCTGTTCTTTAAAAGATTCAGCCCAGCCTACTCCCAAACTCAGCAGACATGCTCTGATTGATCTCAACAGCGCATGTAACAGGAGGTGATTTTGAAGCATTTTAAGGTACTTTTCTCCTGTTAACCGCCCAGACAACCTAGCTAGCAAGGCAGGTTTTTGTTCCTCCTCACATCCCATGTCCAGCATCACTCACTGCGGTCCCCTGTGCACCATCACTGACAGCAACATGTTTTGCCGTGGCATTACTGTGCAGAGAGAAAAACAGATGTGTTTTACCCATAAACCATCTGCTTTTATAGCTAACAATGCGAAGATCTAGCACATCTGGCAACTCACAGGACTGTTCTTCAGAGCGAAAATATGATTTAAGGGAGATATTTCCTATGCTTTTTATGTAATAAGGGGCTATGCTGTTTGGGAGGAATGGTCCATTTATATCTAGGTGGAAGCATCATTGCAACTTTCATACTGGATTACCAAATTTCTAAAAGCATTATAGATGTGTTCATTCTTTGTGCACATGAACCCACCACTCCTCCAAGCTTGCTCAACAGCACGGTTTAGGTCTCCAATGCAGGTCCACTGATCTTCATTCTTCTTTGAAACAGACCATTTGGAATGATCCTCGATGGAATGGAAGGTGGAGTTCAGTGGTGTCCCTATGAGATTTATGTTGTAGACATGGTACTGCAGAGAGCAGTTAGAGGGAAGTTTTTGGCCAGAGTGTTGCCAGGATTCAGCCAGCAAATCAGTCTTCAGCTTCTGAGCTACCCACGCCACGTAGATATCTGTGGGATAGAGGGTGGGAGAAATCAGCCCTTCATTTAAGTGGGGATCAGAAAGGATCGTCTAAACTGGGCTTGTTTAATTCTAATGCATGAAGTGAACCAGAATAGATTTTGCCCCCTTCTCTTATTTTGATTTTTGTTTCAGAAGTTCATTCCTGTTTTCCCTTCTTTTCCTGGAAATCCTGTTACAAATAATCAGCAGGAGGAAAAAAAATAAAGGAAAGGAAAAAGAATTTTTAATCCTTCATAACAAAAAAGCTGATGATTCAAACCCTATTTTTGTCCTTTGTTGTTACAGACAAATAACTGGAAAGAAATTTTCAGACAATCCCATTAATGTACATTTTAAAACATTTGAACGATCAGACAGCTTTTCACTTAGTGGAGCTGACAGAATATTATGATGGAAGACCATTCCCAGTACTCCATTACATTTATTTCGGAAACTGAAATTCTTTTTTCCCTTCAAAGTAAATACTGTCAAAGAATACACTGACTGCTTACTACTTGCTTGATCATGTATGGTGGGTGACAGCAGTTTTTCTTACCATCCACGAATGAGTGGGACTTCACAAAGTGGAAAAAGGCCTCCCCGCGAGCTGACCGCAGCTTCGAGAGGCGGTGCAAGGGGGGTGAGGGCAGCCTGGAGTGTGCACAGAGCTTTTGCAGATTTGGGAGATCAGCCTGAAAGGCACTAGGGAGGGAACAGCTGTAGATTTGTGGATTAGAGCTCAGCATCTGTTGGTCTGAAAAAAAAAAAAAAAGAAAAAACACACAAAGAAATGAACACATGCAAAATGAAAACAGGTTAAAGTAAAGCAACCAAGAAGGTAAAGTTCTGTCTGGGAAGGAAAACCTGAATCCTTTTTAATCTTCACAGTTTATCTCTGGAGCAGTTCAGTCTCAAAGTAGCTTTGGTTTTAGCAACCAAAACCAAACATGTTTATTTGCTTTGTGTTATGACTGACCCAGCATCTCAATCCAGCTGAGAGAGTATGCTCCCTTTTATCCATGTGTACCATCCTGTTCTTAGCAGGACTGCCAGTCTGTGGTCTTAGCCCATGCCACAGCCCTCCATGGTCACCTTCAAGCCTCTGAGCGGTCACACGGCACTCAGACAGCATGTGTGAATTCAAGCCTGTGCTTACAGGAGTTGTTTCCAGTCAGTGACACTTGCCAAGCCAAAGCCAAACAGGAGAGCTGCCAAGCAACCCAGCTGAGTTTTATGCGGCACAAAGCTTGACTTTCAAAGTCGGGATTCAATCTGCAAACTATTTCTCTGAACACGGTGCAATTTAACTGTGAAAGTCCTTGCCGCCGATGTTGTAAGGAGCAAGGGAACAAATGGGCTCCACAACTGATGAGTTCATGAAGATGAGTCCATTAGGAACTTTCCAGTCTTTCCAGCTTAGGAAATCCTTAAACCACAGATTACCAGAAGCTGGGAGGATAGAGCAGGAAAGCATTACTGTATGCTTCTCATTTTCTTGTCTTCTTTCCTAAGCACATGCAAAGATGTGCTTCTGCAAGCAGGAACTTGGTTTTGATGGCTTTGTGGTGTGACCAGCCTGCACATTTGCACAGTCCTACGCATTTATTTAATATAATTTGGGACTTGGAGCTCAGCAAAGAGTAAAAAGCAATGTGAAAAGTGTTATGTAACGTGTGACTTCTTATAATGCCCTTGACAGTCAGCCTTTGGGACTCCAGTGTCAGGTAATTCTGAGTCTTACGGATATGAATTTCATTTTTCTTATTTTTAGGATTTGTATTTTATGTGGCAAAAAATACCTTTGGAAATCTGGGAATATTTATTCCGTACTTTGTATTTCTGATGTGTCAAGGCCACCACTCCAGCTCAAGTAGTGATTGCCTTGCACTTTTAGAATGGCAGACTATTGCAGCTGAATGAGCTATTACTGTTAAAAATGATTCACCATCCTCCTTTATATTTCCCAAGCACGTGGTATGCATGGGCTGACTTTACCCTCAGTATGCTCTTGTGACTATTATTATCCCAATAGTCCTCATGGGGGGATGGAGGCAGAGTGGAAGAGTGAATTTCCCACATTCCCACAGGAAATTGTTGGATAAACAGAACTGAAAGCCAAGGGTGCGGCTTCCAGGCCCCACTTGGTTTCCAAATGTGACAATGAAAGACAAGAGCAATCAGTTTTGGAGGCACAACCCAAAGGAAAGAAGTCAGAGAGGTGCAGCAGAGCAAAGGCATTCTTGGGAAGAAGCTTTCCATACCTATTTCTGTGAACTGGTCATATTTGAAGGTTATGCAGATGGCTGTCTGTCCGTAGGACTGCCCACTCGCTGGGTACCCATAACCATCCTCAGGGAAGGGAGGGAACAGAGGCACACTGTGAATCACCCAGAAGCCTTGTGATTTGTCCAAGAGCAGAAATCCTGTCAAAAGAAAGTTATGGCAAATGAATTAAGAGGTGGAAAGCCCTGAGACATCACAGCAGTGTGCTTCTTTGGATTTGCTGCTGCAGACACCGTGCTTCAGCGTGATAATGGCTACAGCAGTCTGGCACTGGAGTATATTAATGGGTTGTAGAAGACACCGATATTGTACTAGAATTGCATTAATTCTCTCCTGCATAGCCTAACTTCAATTGTCATCACTGTTCCTTTGAAAAATTACCTTTGCAAAACATTTTTTCTTTATCTGCTCAAATGCTGTCTTTGAAAAATCTGATGATTTAATGGCTGCAACTCTTCACCCACTACTCCTTTCTCTTCCTTTAATTTCATTGCTGTATAAGGGAAAATGGACTCTGTCAGCACCGTGCCTTCTTGCCCAGACCAAACTGTGCTTGGGGCAGATGGGGTACACCTCCCCTGCTGCAGATGGCTCAGGAAATAGTCACCCATGGCTCTGCAGCTTGAAAACACAGCCCTGGAAAGCCTCTCCATCCCAGAGCTGGGCTGGGCAAACCCTGCTTCCTCAAGGGACCAATTAGACCTCTAGAGAGGTTTTGTCTATTTAAAATCATGCTGTACCGTCACTGCACATTTAGTGCTTCCATGATTCTGCCCTCAGAGAGAGATCTGGGAGGCTTTCAAGGTCAATTCTGTCATGTAGGGTGCCTCTCCCTTTGCACCCTGTGCTGCTGTTGCCAGGCAGCTCAGAACGACGTGGTCTGTACTTGCTGAAAGGAGAGACAGGAGTTTCCACTCTTGAATACTAAGGGTCCATAATCATTAAGAGTTCTTCAACAGAGCACAGGCACAGCAGTACCAGAACAGAAGCTACCACGGATATCACTATACATCAAACCACGCATCATGCAAATCATTCTCCAGTTTTGCTTTAGGCAGGATTTTTAGATATGCAGATTGACAAACAGACAAATAGATGTTATGCACAGCTTTAAAAAGGAGGAAACAGCAGCTGGGGACTCTCCCTGTACCTTTGGTGTGTCCTCTTTTCCAGTTGGTGGAGTCTGAACGAGGGACCTCATCGTTATAGATTGCATATGCAGTGTTGTTGCTCTGCAGGGAAAGACACATTTCTGAAACGTGACATTTGGTAAGAGGAAAGCATTTAAGCAAACAAATTTTGTTGAGAACAGAAGACTTTAGAAGTTCTCTGTGTATATCATGAACTTCATTCTTCTCCCATGTCAGCTGGCATTATCCACACAGACTTTACACCAAAATAAACCTGAAGACTTAGCATTAGGGTTCCAGTTAATATAAATGAAGTTCTCTCAGTCATTGCAACAGCCCGTCCTTTGAGTATGTCTCTGATTTAGCTACCAGATCCTGTAAAAATGTTTGCACAGGAAAAATAACCATGACAAGTATTCTTACAAAGGACAAGCGATTAATACTTTTTTTTTCTTTTTTTTTTTTTTTTTCAAAATATTTGCGTACAGCCACACCTTATTTCCTCCTGAACAGAGAACTTTCCCCACCTGGTGTACAGTTTGCAATGATAGCAGGGTAGGAAAATGGCATCAGTGTGGCTCAACACTGAGTTTGTAAAGATTGTTTGTATTGCAACTATGGTATGACATGGGATAGGAAAGTTGTGGGGTTTGCCAGTATTTGACTGACTTCTGGGAGTCTTTTTTACATATAAATTTAATGACACCCTACCACTAAGCCGCAGTAGAAATGCAAAGACACACCCAGACTCCTAAGAATGTGAGCACGTAGACTATGTGGATGGTAAAAAATAACCATAGGCAGATCCTGTGGTATTTTATAATCATTTCATACAAATATAAATGAGGTTTCTGACTGGAAAAAAATAATACTGCTGAAGCAGTAAGGGGGGAACAGCAAAACCCAAATGTGATCAGAGATGGAGCTTGAAACACATGCACCTGGGAGGACTTAGGATGGAGGTCAGTGGTAGTCACCACCAGCCCTAGGCTGTTGACAGCCAGTTCACCACTTGGGCCATTGCTCAAGAGGAATTGCAGAAAAGAAGCCACAGGGTCTACGTACCAATGTTCATTTACTTGATGGGCCATACTTAAGTGTGTGAAAGGCTTGACTAGAAATTTCTAGGGTAACTTCTAAGTGTAGCCAAAACTGCAAATAATCTGCTGAGCTGCCAGCACAGTCACCTTGATACATTTTAGCAGATCAAGTCAGTCAGGTCTGGCCATAGCTCTACATGCTTATTTTGGCTGGTTTCATTTCATTTGCATGTAATATCAAGTAAACATACTAGCAAAATGGTAATTAAACATCACTTGCCTTAGACTCGTATGCTTCATAGAGCTGCCCCAGTGTCTGTCCCAGCGCGCCCTGTGTCATGTTGACGAGGTATTTGCCGAGCTGCCAGTCCTGCACTAGGGCATCCATGTACAGGTACTGCAGCCCCAGCCCTGCATCCTCTCCTCTGGTGTATTTTGGCAGCTTGTACAGAGCAAACCTGCAACAGAGAAGAACAAGTTTTGTTTTTCTTGCAAACCGCCCTATCTGAATACGTAGGTCAGTCTCTCCTGCCCACCCTGAGGGTTTGAAGACTGGGGTGACCGCAGGGATGCCCGTGCTAGGCTCACCTTCACTCTGCTTTTCCACAGGCTGAGCTGGCACCAAGCTCCTCTTGCTGTGCCCATGCTACTATTTGTACCCCAAAAGAGCTGGTTTTGAGCTACCTCTGGTTTGTCCCTGCTGCACCAATGCCCTTGCTGTGGCGAAAATGTGGATGTGAACCTTTTTGAGCAGAGCTTTGTGTCATGGGGTTTTCACTCTCAGCAAGAAGGCTGCTGAGGAGACGAGGCTGAATCTGCTCTGCCTGGCACTTCAGTGAACAAACTGCCTGCTCAGCATTGGGGAGGTGCACCAGGGAAACCTGTGCAGGGATAGAGATTTCAGGGAAGTCCTCTGGAGCCCTGCATAGCCACCAAATCCCTGTTACTCCTGGTTCTGGTAGACAGCAGGAGACATGCCTGAACCTCAGCTCCCAAGGTCAGTCTGGCATTCCCTTGGTCAACATGGGCACCTCTTACCAGTAATTTCTTATTCTATACAAATATAATTTTATATTTAAATTAATTATATAAAATGGAGTACTAAATGATAAAATTACACAACTCAGTATTTTCATATATACATATATACAAATGAGTATGAAACTATGTAATAATGTTGTTACAATCCTACTTTTCATAGCCAACTCATGTGGAACTGCTGCAAACTGAATATTTACAATTAGCCGGAGATACAAATCTTTTCAAAATTGCAGAGTACTAAATACTGTTGGTAAATTGTTCAGTTCCTACTAATGTCCCTGATGAAGTAAACAGGTTTTCCTAGTGCATAAGTCCATGGGATTAACTGCAATGTAATTAATCGAGCCACTTTCCTTGAGTGCTGTACTTAAGTAATTTGTTATTTATGTCAATAGTAAGAACTGAGTGGCCTTATTTTTGATACTATGGTTCTTAACAAAAATGCAGCTTGACTGCTTAACACCATATGTATGTCAGGAGGAGTAGGACTCGCCCAGTTAATTTACAGTTGGTCGGTTGGTTAAAAAAAATGCATTTCGGAAAGCAGGTTAAAGTGCCAGGAAAGCATTTTGAAAGAGGAACATTTAGTCCATGGGAAGGGCACATGTACAGGAAGAAGGGAAGCACAGAGGTGATCCCGGTAATCCACCTGTATCACCACTAGCTGAGTGATGCTCCTTAAATCGCTCAGGACAAATTGTAGCTGATGACAGATTCTAGAGAAGACAAGGAAGCGATTTGTATGGGAGGTCTTGTGAGAGCATTCCCTGCACCAGGAGCCGCAACAATCCCTTTATTTGCAACGAAGATTTGGAAAGACAAGTAGTAGTAGTAGTAGTTATAAGAGTAGGCACTGAGCCAAGAATTAATATCTGAAGCATTTCCAAACTGCTTTGAAATGTGCTGGGAGGTTTATGCTCTGCCAGTGTTTACAGCCTTGCAGCTGACAAACACGCGTTAGCAGATGTGCTGGAGGGAATGCTTGTAGCTGAGTTATCAGTGAATTGCCTGCTGATTCCCAGGAGATAAATGTTTTGGACCTGCACAGAAAGTCAGTTGAGTGCATTAGCAATTTAAACTGTAGAAAAGTCTTCACTGCTGTTTTGCACAGGGGAAGTTTCCCAAGGGCTTAAGTGGCTAAAGTATTTGTGGGAGTGGACTGAAAGTTACTTTGCTGAGAACTGAGGAAAAGCAAAGGCATTAATGTCGGGAATCCAATTAGCACGGTCACAGTGTTAGCTTGTGTCTGAACACTAAGGCACAAGAAGTAATCACATTTGTTTTTTTTTATTATTATTATTTTTTTCTTTTTCCCTCCAATAAAAATAAGTGCACAGCCCTGGCTTGAATCCCTGACTCAGCACTTCTCAGAAGGCAGAGGTGTTTTTTTTTTTTTTTTTTTTTAATGTGTGCAAAAAGATTTCCAAAGAGTCATGGGCTCGGGTGAATACAGCAGAGATCTTCTGCCCTCCTGAAAGTGCTGCACCTGCAGCCATTCCCCCTGGTGCACTGGGGATGGCGAGGCGAGCTCCCAGCTGGGATGCACCTGGGACATTTGCCAGTGCTGTACTTCATGTGGGTAGGAACCGCAGGCATGGGGAGGCAGGTGGGATCCCAGAACCATGGAAAGGTTTGGGTTGGAAGCGACCATACAGGCCTCCTGGTTCCAACCCCCTGCCATGGGCAGGAACACCCCACACCAGGCCAGGTTGCTCAAAGCCCCATCCAGCCTGGCCTTGAACACTTCCAGGGAGGGATCAGATCAGATAAAGGAAGCGATACCTCCAGTTTAGCATGAAATGGAAAGTATGTGAATACTTGTAATGAGCAATTATATTGCAGGAGGAAGCCACTGAACAGCAGGGACTCACATAAAGCTCTTAGTAAATGAATATAAAAAATGAAAATCTGTGTTTGTTTGAAAGGGCATCAACATCTTTTGGTTAAGAGGAAGCTTTTCTCAGCAGTTTCAGTTCTGCTTCTTCAATCAGCTTCATAGCAACCGAATCCAGAATGAGGCAAAAGTTCACTATTTCTTGTCAATAAGCTAGCATGACCCATGCTGACAGATAAGTTTCTCTTCCTTTGGATCATGGCACATTTGAAAGAAAATCCCCCCCATCTTTCCTGCTATGCCTGTCAGAAGGAACCAGTGCCTGCACCAGGCCCTGCAGGAGACCTGGAATCCCTCAGGAACTGCCTGTATTTTGTTATTGGCAGTTCATTGCTTTTTGTTTGTTTTATAGCTTTAGCACATGCAGACTCATTCTGCAAGGAATAATTACACTTTGCAGATAAATTAAACTTCTCTTATCACCGAGTTTTTGCCTGGCAGCACCACCTAAGGGACTGATTTCTGAAAAATGACATGATCTGGATGTGCCTTGGCAAGGGTGAGGGGTGACAGGGCCAGGCTGGACCCTTGGATGCTTGATGCTGAGCCGACACAGTGCGGCGTGGGCCTGGTGGCCGTGATGGCCCCGGCCTGCCTGCAGCCAGCTCTGCGCATGAGGGGAGGGACGAGGGACACCCTTCTGTTGTTACAGGAACAGCACCCGCTCCTTTATTGCTTGTATACAAACTAATCGCTGTTCAGTGAGACTCTTTAAATTGGTTGATATTTATCTTTGAGATGCTTCAGTACTCTTTTTTTTTATATATATATATATATATATATTTTTTTTTTTTTTTAAGAGGTCTCGTTTCACTTTTTAAACCTAGGTTGCCTATTATGTAATTACACTTTGCGTCTTTCATCTTCAAAGTGCATTAATCCAATTAATCATTTAGCACCCAAACCCGGGCTGGGTGCTGGCAGCGCGATGCTACCAGACGGCACTTTCCCACACCACCATGTCCACCCACGCTCCTCGCGCCTCTCCTGCATTGCTGCCAGAGGCAGCCCGGCCTCGGCTCCCCCTCCACAGCCACAGCGAGGAGACAAATCCTGCCATGCTGCTGGTCGGGGATGGGCAGCAAGGTTCAGGGCAGGATGTGGACATTTCCCCCCGGACTGGTTCCTGCAGGCAGCGAGGCCCTGTGCAGGAGCCCTTGCTGCGACCCGGCGCCGTGGGGGCTGCTGCAGGCAGTCGCAGCCTTGGCATTCGAACACAGGTTAGGCTGGCTTTGATCATCAGACACAAACGCTGCGTAAACCTGTCATTATTTTGCAGTTACTCATAATGCAGCAGCGTGGTTGGTTCTGTGGAATGAAATCACCTTTCAATAACTTACCCTAGGTTTTCCAAATGCAAAATTCAGCTACTACTCACAGGCAAACAGGATTAAACCAGAGATTGCTATGTGTTACTTCCCAGCGACCCACCTACTTCATGCAGAGTAATCTTAGGTGTTATTTACTCATCGAGCATTCCTCCCATGAGCGGCATTTACTTACCAATCGACTGCCTCCCCGTCTTCATTTCTGCAGGAAATTTGCGCTGCCCATAGTGACGGGGAAGAGAACAGCAGTAGCACAGCAGGGCTACACCATGCAGACCCCACGGTCATCGTGGTGCCTCAGCTGCACAGTCTGAGCGCGGGGCAGAGACTAAAAGCAGAAGTTGGCCGTTGTTTCCTCAGCCACCGGCCCTGGCTGCTGTGTGGTGAACACCCACAGGGAGCGGCTGGCAGCTTCCCCGGATCAATCTGGGCAACAAAATGGCAAAATGACGTTTTTCAGATTTTACTTTTGAGAAAAATTACAGCTGCATCTTCAGAGGAATTATTTTGAATATTTAAAACATGTTAGGTAGTCTGCTTTCAAAGCAAGCTGCAGATACTACAGACATTTTTTTTTTTCTTTCTTAATGCTTTATGAAAGCATTAAAAAGGAAAGCATGATTTTATTTTTATTTTTATTTTTTTACAACTACATGAAAAACCTCAGTTTTCAGACAAGCAAACCAAAACAACATTCACCTCTCTATTTTTTCCATCCAGCCCATGCAGTGAGCTCAGACTTTGCACCATTCCTGCAAAGTGGGTTCCCAGTGCAGTGCTGAGCCCCTCTTTCCTGATTTTGCTAATGGGGAGCCTTATTTTGTCTGTGGGAATTGAGCCTGCAGAAACCAACAGCAAGAAAAAGACTCTGATCCACAGTAATTTACTTACAATTAGATAATATATATATATATTAATTCTCTTTTAAACACATTAGCATTTCTCTTAGGAACAAACAAGTCTGAATTGAGCTATTTTACATCTGATAATGTTTTCAGCAAGTCATGAATAAAAAGTTTCAATTTATATTTTAGTGTTGAAAATATTATTTTTTTCCCTCCCCATTATACTTACACTGAAATAAATTAATATCAGGTACAAGATATTTCAGCCTCAGGGAAAGTCTAGTGCAATAAGTGCTAGGTATTTTAGCATAAAAGAAATCCCCACAAGCTCCCCAGTATTTTTGTCTGTTGCAGTGCCTCCAGCACCATAATAGCTGTGCAAGTTGGGCTGTGTTTGACCAAAGCAGGATAAAAGTAATTAGGGCTTAATGCAAACCAAAACAATGATCCCAGAAAGTGAAGATTTTGGAGTTGTGAATCAAGAGCTGAATTTTGCTGCTCAGACTTGCTTCTGTTCCATTTCAGGAGCAATCAGGGCTGTAAACTACATGCAACAAAATACTTTCAACCAGCCCAGTTTGGCCTTTCTTTCCTTCTTTCTCTGGGGAACCTCAATGTGCACAGATAGGGTTATAGAAAACAGAAAACCACCAGGAACATGACACCTGTTTTCATCTTCTGTTCGGGACTTGTGTCTGCTTACAAAGGAACCTTTCCTCACCAAAACACCACTTTGACGCCCCTGCCTGGTGCATCGCATGCTAGGGGGGCAGTGGGCAGCTGTTAGTGTGGCTGGGGAAAACAGGAGCTGTGCCAAGGAAGGTGAGCACTGCCGATGGGACGGTGGTGGGGCATACAGACCCAACAGATGGGGATACCCCTGCCTCAGGAAGAGATGATGGGGAAGACTCATTGAAGGGCCACAGCCAGTACTAATCCAAAGGCGATGAAAGAGAGAGAATTGTTCACTGCTACTTGTGTTAAATGGTATGCCCCCCAATAAAAGTTTTAAATTCCATCACAGCTATGACTTGTAATGACATCTTCTTAAAACATTTTTTCTTCGTATCAGGACTTGGTGATTTGTAACACAAATATTTACATTACCACAGGTAACCACAGAAATAAAACAATAAGTGTTGTTTATGTTTCACTAACTAATCGTAACTGGTGCTTCTGCTGAGTTCTTTCATGACTGTAACATGTGTTTTCTCTGCAGATTAAGGATATAGAAGTCCTCAACTGTGAATATGGCAAAAACACGATTAAGTTCCTTCGCCTCCATAGAGAAGGGAAGAAGCACTTTGTTAAAGAAGTGGAAGTGTGCACCCACCTCCGGCTGACTTCTGCTCATGAGTACCTGGATGGAAACAACTCCTTTGTGATACCTACAGACACCATAAAGAATATCGTCCTGGTGTTGGCCAAAAAAAATGGGGTATCTTTTATTTTTTAACTAGCCTTGCTTTTCTTATCACTTCATTTGGAAGCATTTATTATGCTGACCTTTTATTTTCAAAATGAATCAGAAGAATCTCTCCCCCATCTGCACGTCAGGTTGGCACTAAAATCACCATCAAAGATTTGGGAGAGAATTTTCCTCCTCTAGTGCTCATCCTGCATACAGGGGTTACTGAGGCCCTTCCTCCTGGTCTAACAATTTTAGTTATTATTTTAGTTATTTTAACTTTAGAACATAGAAACCTTTCACATCTGATTAACCACAGTAGTGAAAATGGCTTGGTCTCCTGGGTTTGAGAACCGAATTCCCTTGCTCAGTTCCTCTATTGTAAGGACAATCTGCAGATCAAGTTCTCTCTCTCAGTAATGAAATCCTATCTTTAGCCTGCAAAGCTGAGCCAGAGCATCACTATGATTATTTCAATATTACGTCCTCAAAGCCTAAGGCTTCTGTAGCTGTTCCTCTCAGCCCAGAGGCTCTAGCTCTCTATACTGCAGAATGGGAGATTTTGGATATGAATCTGTAGCTGCTATTTGCAGCGTATGCTGCAAGCTGATCAAATGACTAGCCTTACTGTGTGCACAGCCAGAATCAAAAGAAATCTGTATTTTTAACAACATTGATCCTTCTCAAATGTTTATAATTAGAACAATCTACTTTTGTAGATGAGGTAATTGCTTCATTCTAATAATATTCTTTGCTGCCTTAGATCCCAACTTTAGAACAATTTGCTATAGATATCTGCAAACACTTCATGACAACATTTTGCCAAGTGGCCTACGTCAAAACCTACGTTCAGGAAGTTCCATGGCAACGTCTACACGAGGTATCTGAAATACTAATGCATTCACTTGGTTCAGTCTGGAGCTAGTCCTTACTCTCTTAGCTCCTGTTTCCCAGTTAAGGTGTTGTTTGCTGCACTTACATGTCTGCTCTGAATTGTAGAACGGCGTTCCCCACATCCACTCGTTTATATGTGTTCCTGATGGGATTCGCTTTTGTGAAGCTGAGCAGTGCCGGAATGGTGAGAAAAGACTCTGTAGCTTCCCCTATTTCTCTGTAAATATTTCTGCTGATGACAGATAAAGATGGCTTTAGAGAGAGCAAAAGCTATTACAGGGCTTACAGCACAACCAAACCTCTCTAAAGGCCTAAACTGAAGAGTACTTTTATGGTCTAATCTTGCAGTCCTTGATCTCTGAGACAAGGCTGAAAATCCAATATAGTTTACATCTGTATGTGTGCCCTAAACACTTACTGGTTACAATGGCACATTCACCACAACTGTTACGTATTGTCATGGAGTTAATAGCCTTCTGAGAATGCCCTGCTTACTTTTTAACATTATACTGTATTCTGAAGTCTCATTATGATCATTATCCTATAGAGAAATACATCACAAAGCCACCTTGCCATAGGACAATTGCCTAGTTTGCAGTCATTTTCAAAACCCTGTCAACATGCTTTGCTTTTATTTCTAAAGATGCAGTTTCATTGCTGCAAGTCAGGCTGGCCTGAACATCATAGGCATTCAGGTCTATGTGCAAACTGTTTTTCACATGACACTTCAGAGCATACTTACTGTTTTTGCACACCATGACAGAAAAAGCACCATTTAGTTTCACTAAGAGTTTTGGGCTGTTGGATGCCTTGCCATTCCAGAATGAATGTAAAAAAAATCTCTATTTCTGAGTTAATCCTATGTTTCAAAACCTTACTCATCATTAAAAGAAACCTGGTGAGGCTTAATAGAATTATAGCCTCCCTCCCCCTCCTCCCCCCCCAGTATATCAACTGATAAGAGGCTCAGAGTTTTTCAGAAACTGAAAGAATCATAAGTAATTTAATGGAGTTGCCCTTAGACTATTGAAAAGACAGCATAAGCACAAAACATACTGAATGCACAAGGTGGGCTGTTCACTAATTTGAAAGCTTTTCCTAGGCATTATATTTCTTCAATGTAAGATCCAGACAGACAGCTAGATAGCCAGCCAGCAATCATGCATTGCAACCAGCTCTTTCAAACAAGACTATGCATTTGAATAGGAGATAAATATATTTCAAGGTTCACTGATAGTATCTGCACTACTTTAATACCCATGTATTAATATTTTATATCTAAGCTATGAATTCATCAAGATCTGAACAAAATCCAGAATAACCTGTCCAAGAACATTGGACAGATAAGATAAATCTTAAGCTTTAGTAAATAACATGGGAAAGTAGCCAAAATAATAGTACATTTCTTTGGACTCATTCAAAAACAAACAAAAACAATAATGAATTTAAACAAGAAAATAAATAGACGAAATACAGTTCTAATCATATCCAGTGAGCATGTATGAAAAAAATACTCTAAACAATCATGTCATTTGGGAATATCCATCACAGTGGAATTATTTCTAATATGACTTCCTGCAAAGATACAGTTTAAAGACAAGGTGTGTCAAAGGCAGGATTACTATGGCCAGGCTTATTCAAGGAGTAATTTTGGACTAGCTAGCATGAGTACCACAAGCAGAACAAAGCAGCAGCATAGGCTTCAGCCACTGAGCATCTATGCAGAATCCGGATAAGCCTGTGTGGAGTAAAGTTTCTCCTTTCTGAATCTGCTTTTTGGCAGGTCTGGTCAGTGAAATTTTCAGTTATCAGTTTGGTGTAATCTAAGTGATTGACCAATTGAAATTTTATAGCTTCCATCCAAAAGGATGGAAGAAAATGTTCAGGACACAACTGTCTGGTCTTTAGAAAATGATAATCCACCCATACAGCAGTGATCTGCAATGGCACATTTTATAAATAGTGTCTAAGAGCAAAAACACTGTCAGTTTGAACCTGTGGGTGGCATTTGTATCAGTGCCAGTTCCTGCTAATTAGCTGAACTTCGTGCATTTGCATTGGCTCCTTGCCCTGTCGTTCTAATGGATGCAAAACTAACAACAGGACAGATATGTAAAGTGAATTTCTGGCTGAGGCTCCCAGTCTTGTTACAGCGTTTCTACACTCTACACATTATTAGAAAAGTTCCACCTTACCTCTCCTATGTACCACAGCACCAGTAGCCTATTTTGTTTCACTTTCAAGCAATTAGTGCTCTCTGAAGTGACACCAGTGAGAGCCAACCCAATGCATGTCCCAGCTCCAAGGAAGTGAGGTAAGGGGTGTCCTAAACTCTCTGTGACTGACATTGCAGATCACTTGATAGGATTCTCTTCTTTCTAGATTGAGCTCTGCTTTCAGTGGTTTCTATCTTATTTCCTAACTTTCTGATAACATCAGTGTGCAGAAAATAATTTTTAAAAGTAGCTAGACTTACAGAAGAAGCATGAGTGTTGGAGTCGCTGCTTGATGGTCCTAAAGCTGCTGCTGCAAGTGCACATCCAGAAATCCTTTCTGTCCACCTGAAAAGTTCTCACACTATCATGTATTTTTGGTTCACAGGTCCTCTGGTTGTTTTTGCTGGAATTAAAGATCTGAAACTTATGAAGACAACACAGTCTGGATTTGAAGGCTTCTATAAGAATGAACACACCACGCTACCTGAAAGGCATGACAGGATTTTATGTGGAGAGCTCTTCTGCAAATGGTCGTATGGCGAATGCAGAGACTTTGACTTCGATTGCATATGGTATATGTCAAATCAAATAATATTTACCACCCAATCTATGATCTCAAAGATCCTCTGTACAGCACAGCAAGTGTAAGGGCCAGACCTGCAGTTGCTGAGCACAAATCTCAGTAGAGGCTCTAAGCACTCAGTGCTGGGGGTGAAAGGCAAGCCTTGGGGGTAAATCAACTTCTCTCCCTGCTGGTGCATCAGCCAACAGCATTTAAATGGACAGTTTGTAGTTCAATACAGAACACTTCAGGAGAACAAATTTGCAACTCATTTGTTAGATAATTTTAACAGAACATTTGCTGATGAAGTATAGATTTGGGGAGAGGGAGTTTGGAGGAGACAGGACATTGTTCTTCCATGAAATCTCACATGCCATCTATTTGTCAGAAAAGACAGGGAAAAATAGAAATAAAATAAGCACAGTAAAACATGATGGATCTAGACAAAGATTTTGTAAGAACCTGTGTTACCTCTAGGAACAAAGTCCGGGAATGTATCCTTGAGGCCTTTTCAGGGCCACCTGACTGTGGGGAGTATTCACCCTCTTACCAGAAGACTGTCAACTCTATCCAGATGTGCGTCCTTTCCAAAGTGTCACAGGTAACTTCTTTCCTCCTGCTGATGTTTTACTTTAACAATAGTGAACATCAATTGGTCCTCTAAGAAGACCCAAATGAACCCACCTCCATTGGCAGTTCTAAGACTGGAAACTGGTGGTGTACAGCTTGATGGTCTGAAAAACCATAAGTGCACTCCCAAGTTCAGTCCTGAGCACTGCTTCTTATCAGCCATGAACATAATGGGAGAGAATATCACTCAGTGCTCGGCAGGACATGAGCAAAAGTGAAAAGAGTGCTCTCAGATTGGCTACATGTTCAATGGATTGCATTTTATCAACTGTACATATTTTTGTGAAGGGAGGTGTTGCTCTGTTTTTCCTCACACTGAAGGAAAATGTTGGTAGGCTATTGGCTGAGAAAGTGTGTTAGTTCATTGCCCTGTTTTCCTGGTTTCAGGTACAGGTCATAGAAGTCATCTTGAACAACACGTTTTACAATGTGGTAGACATGAAGAATCTAGGCTTGACCAATGACAAAGAAGTAAGTAAATGCTCCAAACACAACTTACCTGGATTCTCTATAAACTCCCAGCCTTAAAGTACAGCAATAGCTGTACTTTAATAGCTATACTTTAAAGTATAGCAATAGCTATACTTTAATGCAAAAGAACAGCCAAAGTGAACAAACTTTCTCCTCCAGCCCCAGTGAAGGCTCCACCCTACCTCCAAAGAAGATCTACACTAACTATAGCAGAAGGATGATTGCCTTCTTATGTTCCTGATAAGAAATAAATGAGCACAGGGGAGAGCTTTGGAGATCACTGGGGTCTGTAACAGAAATACTAGGTTAGCTAAGGCCATAGGCTTTACCTCCAGGTGACAGAAGACCAACACTGTAAGAGAGCAGTGAAAAAATTGTTCTGCAGCCATTTGGAGTCAAAGCAACCAGGTCCAACAGTGGACAAGGTATAAGCCTGGGACCAAGCAGAGGGTGAGAGATGGAATGGCTGTGATGTATTTGCCCCTCCCTCCACAGCTGCTCTAGCTGTCGGCTGGGTCAAGCCAAAAGTCTGTTATCCTTGCATGACAGAGAGAAACTGGGTTATTCCATTTTGCAGTTGCCATTTTGACCAACCAACAGTTTATAGTCTGTTTATACTCTAGTGTCCCTCCCAAATTCCTGTGATTCTCCTGCCATCCTGTCCTACCTTTGTCCTCTTTTTGGTGGACATTACAGAGCCACTTTCACTTGAGATAACAACAAAATTTACCATTGATGTCTGTAAGGGAAGGAGAAGACCCAGGCGTGATTTTGAAAGGGGGTCAATAGCTGCAGTTTCTGCTATGATGGCAATGGCACATCCTTGTTCCAGGAATGATACCTGTGTTTCTACTCATTCTCCTCAGGTTCTGGTTCCAGTGGAAACTCCCTATGGCTCTTGTGCTTGCACGCTTGGCCGGAAGAAGTTCTTAGAAGGTCAAGGCCACATGCTAAGAGATGAGAAGCAAAGTCAGTTTGGACTGGTAGCATCCCAGGGAAACTAAACCTCTCGGCTCCACTCACACATTCCTGATAAACTTGCAGTATGGCTTTCCTATCCACGTGTATTCATTACCGGCCTCTCCCATTGCTGACTACTTTTCCCTTTATGAACTCATATGTTGGGATTTCTAAAGAAGCCTCAGAAATTCAGATATCAAAGTCTCTCCCTGAATCTCAGTGTGATTTATATATTGAAACCCCCTAAATTCTTTTAAAAATCCCTGCTGGAAACATTATAGTCAATTTTTAAACCAGCTATTTCCAGACTTCTTAATGAAACAATTAATTTGATAATCTTTAACACGCTTTTGACACACAAAATCAGCAAATCTGTATATTCTATTTATTCATGTTCCTTCAGTAAAATGAATATACAGGCATGAGACCAGATATTTCATTGACATAAGCTATCCTGACCCCTTGATGCTGCACTGTGCTACAGAGCTGAGGTTCTGACCCAATAACTGAGTGGGGAATCAGTCAGACATTGATTTGTGAAGGAAGTGAAAAAAAAGTCTATTATATCTTCTTTGCAGTATGACTAGTTAACAGCTGTTTACTAATTTCTCTGCATGTGTTCTGACTGCATAGCTGCTGCTGCTATTCATCAGACTATACAGTTACTTTATAATTAATTTTATATTAGCCACTGAGGTGTCTGTGGTTTTGGGCTATCTCTGTAATTTTAATTAAATAGTTTTATTAGGTTTATTAATCTAACCATGACTTTTGAGCAGGCAGAAATCAACCTAAGTAACCGTATTATTTCTGGGAGGGGCAGGGAGATAGACAGACAATGCATATCTTACTTTAGTTACCCAAGTGATAGCTTTGAACATTAAGATAAAACTACAAGACCAGCAGTTTTCATCTCACAAACTGCCTCACTTGCAACAGGAATCCTGCTCAACTTCTAACAGCTTCTGACTGCTGCCCTCATTTTCTCTGAGTGTCATTGTGACAGAACTCCATGTGACAGAATGTAAATCCAATGGGAAGTGCCCAAAATTATTTCCAAAAACTGCAGTTTGGTTGCCTTTGTGCCTTCTCAGTTTAGACCTGCAGCATTCCTCTGGGTACAACTGGTACAACTCACAGTCACTGAAAATGAAGAACATGTCCTGCACCATGTTCCAAGAGAGGAACTTGCCTTGGTGAGCAGGACATAACAGACAAATGGAAGGCACTGTTCAGAGTCCTGTTGTAACTTCTTAAACACAATAGGAAAATGATACCACAGAGTGAATCAGTCCCAGATTTGCCCATAGAAACTGTGGATGCCCCATCCCTGGAAGTCCTCAAGGCCAGGCTGGATGGGGCCTTGGCCAACCTGATCTAGTGGGAGCTGTCCTTGCACATGGCAGGGGGGTTGGAGCTAGGTGATCTTTAAGGTCCCCTCCAACCCAAGCCATTCTATGATTCTGTGATCTGTTAGGCTCTGGTCGCTAGTTGATTCTCAAAGTTTCATTTATGACACTACTAAGTTTTACTGGGGACATTCTTTCTTACCTTGTTCAGCTTGTGTTTTATTGTCTTTCTGGGCTTACGGCTTGCTACTTCTGCTATTTTTAGGTGCTTATAATTTATTAATGTATCTTTCAAGGGCAAATAAAGAGCAATATCAAAAACCAAACTAGTATTTGACTATTTGACTCTTTACCAAATAAGAAATTAAAACATTTCCTACTTGTACATACAGGCAAACATCATACAGAATAACATTTTAGTTCTGACAATTTTGCCTCAAAAAGTGACCAGTATTGTTCCAAATTGCTCACTAGCAATTGTTAAAAACATAAGAAAAAAAGATCTTACTGAACATTTCAATCTTTACCTCTTTCTAAGCAAAGCAGACCAGTTATTCTGCTGTTCACAAACCATTTTCTTTCTACCTTGTGAGAAGCATATTGCACTGGGTGGAAGGTTGCCTGTCATTACTATTTGTGTATCATCTGCAGGCTTATAAAGTAGTAACTTTATTCACAGCAGAGTGAGGACGCAAAGAAGCAACCAGTTGTTGATTTAGACTTTTCTGTGGCTCCAAGCACAAATGCACACTCCTTCAATGTGGTTTCTATAGACCTCCGCAGACAGGAGGAGCAGAGCCTCATCCAGCACTGCAAACCTGAGTCATGCATGTGGGTATTTTCCTTCAAGTGTCAGCACTTGGGCAATCAGAAGGAGTCTGAATCTTCCACATGGCAAATAGATTCAGATCACAATGGGATAAATCATTCCTGAAAATTGGACTTAGCCATGCTACTTGGGCCTGAACTCTGGCCAAATTCTTATTTTCTTTACATTTGGTCTCCATGATGGACTTTACATAGTTTTAATTCAGATAATTTTGTGTGTGTGGTTCCTGCCATGAGCAGCCCTCAGCCTCCTAGCAAGAAACAGGGCATTTCAAGTACACAAACTTCCTATTGTTTTAGCATCCGATCCTTTCACATCCTCTTTCTGTTCAATTCTCACAGATGCCCAGACAGTCCAACCATAATCCTCCTCAGATGCTGATCATGTTCCATGCTTAAGCAGTGTCACATGAAGATAAAATGCAGTAATAAAACTTACTAACCAGTATCTAAAACAGAGATGAAATGTCACTGACAGGGGTAGTACAAATTAGCTGTTTTCACTGTCTGTCTTATTCTCTCTATATACTCAATCCAACTGCTTTATAATACACATTTAAACCTGACAGTCTTGATTAACTATTGCAGTTACTATTTTTTATTCTTTTTTTTTTTTTTTTTTTTAATTTGCTTTTTACCAGGAGTATAGAACCCTGATTCTAAGCTGAACTGAGCTGATTTAAGTAACGAAAAATCTCCTCCAATATTTCTGATTTTTCTAGGTTACACATATTTCCAGAGGCCTGGGCAAACTGGCACATAGTGTTTATACAAAAGGGAGTGGGCAGTAGAAGTCGAGTATCCTTGTGAAAGAGGGTTGTTACGTTCAGACACAAACCCACTTCCACACTTGCCCCTGTGCTTTGTCCACCTGCTGGAACACAAACTCAGCTGTATGATGCCTCATCTTTGCTCCCTCCTGCTGCAATCCAGCAGTATAAGACAATGCAACATTACATTTTAATCAGAAACCAGTGCCATTGAAGAGCCTTCCCCCTACTTTTCATACAGTTCAACTGCTGCAAAGTCAGGGGCATCCTCAACATATTGAGTATTGCTGAGTGTTTATAGAGAGGCAGCTGGATTATAGCAATCAGTTGAAAAGGTGAAGAGAACATCATGAGATGCGTGCAAGCCTGCCAAATCCAAGGCATTTGTTGCTGCCTTATCAGCAGATCAACTGCTGATACAGCAGCTACAACTACTGATTGTTTCTTTATTAAAGATACTCGTGCGTGCAGCACATAAATACAACAGTGGTCTCCAGTACTTACCAGCAACTTTCAATAGTGATGAAACTCTCACATGGAGATTAAGGGCTGCTTACAGTCATCGTGGTGGCCCCCTCGGGCTCTCCAGGTGCTTGGTGTTAGTCATGTTCCCCAACTTTACAGTGTCTACTAGCTAATGTTATTCTGGGAGGAAACTGAACATACAGCTGGGATCCAAACATCGCTAAATCCAACAATTCCCTAATTATAAGGGCTAAGCAAAAAATGGGCTTAATGACATTGTTACATTAGTATATTTAAAGAACACAGCCTTTCTCAACACAAATTAAAGCTACTTGTTAAATCTGCCTGCCCATTATTCCCATGGAGACTGCACATGAGCTAATGACAGCCACTGCCCTCTGCAAGCCCCTAGGGGAAGCTGCTGTTGCAACTGAGCAACTTCAGGGTATACGCAGATGTGAAGGTGAGTGGAGGCCTCCAGCGAGATGGAGTACAACAAGGATGGGCTCTCCAGGCTGACGTCCCCAAGCACCAAGTCCTCTTGTTCTGCTAGAAGGACAAAGACAATCCTTTGCAATCGTCCCCAAGGTGGAGGTGAGAGTAGAGCAGACCCTCCTCAATAACTGCTCTGTTCACCCTGCTTCCTGCTGAGCTATGTACGGTTACACTCTTCACATGCACACTTAGAGCCAATTTACTTCATACATTACTTTTGAGCCAAAATGCATTCCTGGAAGGGAAGGAACTGCTGTTTTGACTTGGAAGTAAAGAACAGGAAAGGAGACAAAGGGAGATGTTTTCCTGGTTCTGCTCAGTCTCAGCCTTCAAATTTTCAATAATTATAAAATATTGGCATAAGAAAATGAGAAATAAGGTTGTAGTTTCCCTGGATTCACATAAATTAGGACCGTCTGCTTTTCAAATAACTGATTGTTTCCTTTAATAAGACAGTATATGGAGATAGAGCATTACAGGTAACAGACCAATTAAATGCTGATTTTTGAAAAGAGAAGCTGGTAAGGGGCATGGTAGAAAGTGAATACACTGAAAAAAGCAGGAAAGGGAGAGAAGTGGTCATTCAGCAAGTAACTGCTGACAGCAAGGGCCTAAGGTGACATTTTGCCTGGGCCATTCATAACGGGAGTGATGCATGGGTAGCTACTCCCTTCGCTACAGCTGCTGAGCCTTGTCCTGTAATTGTAAGAAAAGAGAATTCCTACTAACTGATAAAAACAAAGCAGAGCACATTAGAACAAGCTGTTTTAAAGAGAACAATTGAACACAAAGATAGGAGAGATCAGCAGACAGAACTGTTTTCTCTGGATTGAGAAAGTGACCTGGGCGGACGGGCCCATGCACAGCCTTCATGCTTTGCTGGCAGTTGTCTTACACACCGGGTGTGGTACTTTGTGCGGTCCCTGGGTGCAAAGAGAACGACCTATGCACTGTGCAGGTACATCTTCAGAAAAGAAAATGGTCAAGAGGCAGGACAGTAAACAGGAGGACCTCGGCTGCAGCACGTCTCTGTTCTTCTGCTGGCTGGCAGTAGGGTAAGGGAGCTGACTGCTGCTTTACTCCTTTGAGCTGCCTCTATGAGAGGGAGGACATATTCTAAATATGCTCAGTGTGAAAGCAAGAAGACCTGCAGCATTGAGACCACTGTCACTCTCACATCCAGTATCAGCTGAGCAGACAGACACCTAGCAGCTTAACCACCACCCAAAGCACAGCATTGGCTTTTAAACCGGACTTCTGCACAGCTCTGCCACTATTCGAACTGCAGTATTGACAGGGTATCCAGCAATGCCCATCAGCTGCTTCCCCATTTCAACAGCAGCTGTGTTTTCTGCAAGAGGAATGGTAGCTAAAAATAATCTGGCTTTGACTTCTTCTTTCAGACCCTCCATTCTCTTTTTAAAAGCTTTTTTCTCTCCCAGAAACAGCAAGGAGAACGTAACAAAAAAACAGGACAGTCACCTGCACAAAGGGAATGGCAGCATTGGAAAGCTCAGAGAACAGTAGGAAAACTATAATAAAGATCAGGGACAGTAAAAAAAAAAAAAAAAAAAAAGTACAGTTCCAAGTAACATCCTCCAAATTGCCTTTCATGCCTGCAGTGAGCTTTCTGTTATGCCTCTGCTTGTATGAACAAGTTAGCAGTGCTGATCAAAAGAGAAGTACAATCTGGATGTTTTTGAATCTAATTCATGTGCACAGTAAAATGCATTAAAAGGAAAGCGGAGTACTCAGTAATCACTGAATGAGCCCTCACAGCTGTACAGTGAAGATTTTTACTTCCTAATGGAATAAACATCTTTTACTTTCAATTCTACATCATCCACAGATCTCCAAAATGAGTCAATCACACCCAAAAAAAATGCAAATGTAGAAAAAGAGAATATTCAGTTCATCTTTCAGTAACATAGCATTATGTATTTCTCCAACAATAATTCCACAAATAAAGGGCCGGTAGGGATCCTCAGACTGCTAGAGGCAGCTGCTTCTCATAATCCTTTTCATAAACTGATCTAATTCTTCATTAAAATATTGAGGAGTTTCACGTATAATTTTTCAGTTGCAGCCTCTAACCAGCCTGATACAGACTGTACCTGAAAACGCCCAAGGGCAGGGATGATTCTCTCTATTTGAATGAAAGATCCCTACTCTCAGTAGGTATTCCTCAATGCTACCAAATCATAAACAATTAAGTTGCAAGCAAAATTCAGGCTGCAACTTACAAACCTATTGCTAAAACAGACCGATACCTACAGTACACAGCACAGTACAAGGGAAACAAAGAGAAACAGTTAATGCACCCCAATATCCTATCATGCATCTAAAATTCTAAATACATATTTTGTACAGTGTAAAGGTTAGAAACTATACAAGAAAGCATGCTGCTGTGTGGTGTAGGTATCACATCGCATACCGTGAGCTTTACCTGTAGTGCAGATATACATGTGGTGTTAACCCCTCTCAAACCTCAATACCAGAAATCACAAGCAGCTCCCTTACCACTGCAGCATCCACAGCCACCTTGCACTTGGCCAAATCAGAAGCGAAGGCAGGTCCACCACTAGGCAGGAGCTTCTCCTGTCCTCACTGGGCTGAAATCACCACACTCTTTACTACTTTCTCCCTTCTGAGCTGCATCCCCTCACCATTGCCTCCCACACCATTTCCACTTAAACCACGCTCTCCTGGTAATTTACTCCATCCCAAGTTCTTTCGCTCAGCCACACTGATGTAACCGCATGGCCCATTTTAGGGGTCAACACAAAGCTCTCTGGGCCAGGGAAGATGAGGAGCCTGGACAGTGCTTAGCACCATCTGTGGGTTATCTTCCAGGAACTGCGGGGTGATTCACCTTGTTATACCAGTGCCAAGTGTTGCACCTCTGCACCACTGACAGCTCTAGACAAGGGGAACAAAAGCTCAGATATTACTGGTGAACATGACCAGTGCTTCAAATTCTCTCCTTCAGCAGTATGCAACACGGGACAAAAAAAAAGCAAAAATAATGAAATCTTTAAGTATCTTGGTAGGTGGTGTTAAAAGTAATCAGAAGAACATTGAATATTAAGTAGTTTTTTGTATCGTTTTAATGGGGGAATGGAAAAAGACAAGTGCTCCAGTATACCACAACAAAGAAACAACAAAAGTAAAACAAAAAATCTGTAAAGTAAACTGAATCCAAACATAAGCAATGTTTTATTGGGATATAGCAAGCAACCTATCAAATAGGGAACTGGTACAAACAGTTTGAACAAGATTCTCTTTTAACAGAGATGTATGGTGACAAGACAGCTTCTTTCAGTTTTTAAAACAAGTATTCAAACCGTTAAGTAAAGCATTAAAAGAAAATCATCAACCATTACAACACCAATGACAGACAATATTAAAAATGTGCAGAATTTCACTTTTTTTTTTTTTTTACAAACTTCTGCATAATGTTAGAAAACAAATTATCATAAATTAAAAAAAATAAAAAGATTTTTTTTTTGTTTGCAAAGCAACACAAACTTTTAAAAATCAACTATACTTTACATAGAACTACTATTAAAAACAAGTGAAAACAAGCTGAAAATTTAAAGGACAGCAAAAAAATACACAACCCAGTTTCACTTGTCAGCAACGCCTTCTGCTATCGAAGGGGTTATGTTAGTTTTATGTACAGCTTTAAACATTGCAGCATACCACAAATAAACCTTAATAAGGTCAAAATAGGACCCTCTGCAAAAAAGGGTGAGTTGGCAAGTGTCAGTCCCATCCCAGAATTACAAGTAGCAATAATTTTAGTAGGTCTTTAATGTAAACCAAAACCTACTTCTATTGGTTTATCTCTCCCAAAGATGCATGTAAACTTTATTTATATATATATATATATATTATTTTTTTTTGGTATTTTAATTCATGAAATCAAGAACACGTCTGGCTCAAAAACGAGAATGACATGCCTCCCTTTTGTTCTGGATATAGCGATATAGCTATCTCAACATGCTCACTGACAAATCCTAAAAGAGAAAATCATGTACTATGTAAAAAATACACACCACCTCTCTCAGTTCAGACTCAGTATATAGTATATTGCCAACTCTATCCAATAGGATATATATCTTAATTTGGTTTAAATTCTTAATATATTCTCTCTTTACAAAGTTCCATCACATGAAACCAAATTGCTTATATACTGTTTGAGGCACAACATGACCCCAATTAGACAATTTGCTATAAAGAGTTGTTCTTTAGATGTTGTGTCTGTAGAGGTTTTACGTGATATTCATAGATTTTTAGCGCAGGCCCCAGTTTTAATGAAAGTCCAGTCAGTACATCATTTCTTGTCATCAACAGTAACGATTTGCCATCAATTTCCTGAAAGCAGAATTAAAGAATTGATAAAGATGATATACAAATCAAACAGTTGAGAACAATCATGCAACAAATGGAAGACTATTACAGAGAATCCTTGAGAAAACAATTAATAGCCTTTAATTTCCCGAAACAACGTTTATAGCTGCTAAATTCTGCTGTCTGGTTTTTCAAGTGCTCACCTGTGCTGACTGAAGCATAAATGCTAGTTAGTTAAGCACAAAATCTAAATCAACCTCATTTCAAAATTCCCTCCTTGTACATCTGTTTAAAATTAATAGGTACATGTACAGCTTGCCTAATTAACAGCCATTAAGGGAAGGATACACTTATGGAGAAGGCAGTGAAATGCATTTCAGAATTACCACTGACAGCAACGTGCAAGTTTGGACTAGTCAGTATCTACTAATAACTTCAGGTGCCAGCTTTAAAGGGCCAACTTCTTATGTGGGGGAAAAGGATTCCTGCAATCAAAAATTTGAAAAGGGTCTAACTGCAGAGATCAACACTCTGAGGGAACTTTTGTGTATTTTTTCTTCCACCTCAAAACCTTGTCTTATGTTTGCAAGTTAACTGTAAGTCATTTTTTCATGAGTCAAAAAGCAAAAGAAAGAATTCACACATCACAACTCCCATCTTCATTTCAGACAAAGGACCATCCTTTTACTTGCACAGTCCTACAGCTCAACCACAGTGCACTACCCAGGAGACGTGACCTACACCTACAGAGCTATGACTGGTGTCTCACAACACTGCCAGACCTTGCAGGGTCATCATAGCCGAAAGAAATCTTCAACTTTATGGCGTATACCTGTACTGGAATTCACTTCGTTGCTGTCTTTTCTACTGTCAATAAAACAATTAATAGATTTTAAGTTTGGTATCAACAGCCAACAACAAGTTCAGATGCCTGCATACACTGTTTTCCATGATTATATATTGCCAAAATTGTGCATTTTTGTAAGTAATATATACTATACATTAATTTATCCCACAGCAGTATCTTCCTTACAAATATTAAACGTTGTGTTCAGAATGTCACAAATCACAGCCTTGGTTACAACTGAACATGAAAAAAAGGGATGATATATTAGAGTTCAACAGCAATTTGTCCATTGATCTCTCTCATGATTTGACAGATTTTAAAAATACTAAATACAAGAAAAAAGCATAGTCAAACGTCAGCTGAAAGTGAAATCTCACTGAGAGGTATCAACTGCTAATCCCTCCCAAGGCGCACAGTGTGACAGCATTTCTAGAAAATAAGGATTACAATAACTTTTTACCAAATTATAGCAGGTGCCTCCTTCCAATTACTGCTGAAAATGTTAATGGTTAAAAACAGTTTCTATTTTCTTGTTTCCATTTGTCACAAGTCTTTTTTTGTGGGAATTCTGACACCACTGAGTATAAGTTGCCTTTTCAACTGCTCGTCAATGACGCTACTTCGTAAGAACAGTCTTAGAGGGATGCAAATGAAGTAAATCCAGCACCCGGAGTAGGACAAACTCCAGGAACAGACAGCATTTACTTCCCTTCCCTTCTTCTTCCACAAGGTTCCCTGTGGATTCAATAAACACTAGATCTAGATAATCTAAGGCTTTCACTGAATAGAAAACTGATTCTCTATGCTTACCTGGGTACGTGTGAATATATATTCAAGTATATTACATCTCTGTGTTTACTGCAAGCTTTATTTCTTCCACCTCTTTTTTTTTCCCATTAAAACTGCTTCCATAGATTTGACATCACCATTCTGTTTGTTTTTTTTTTTTGGCATCAGGTAAGACTCTGTATGCTTTGGAGAACTGTATAAATTTCTTCTCTGCTATTCCTCTATATTCTGCATTTTTTTCATAATGCAACTTCAATGCCAGCTTTCGGTATGCCTTTCTAGTGCTGTCTAGAGAGGCATCTCTCTGCATGTCAAGAGCTAACAGCAAATCTCCACTGTGCCAGGGTGTTTCCTAGCAGATTTACCTGTTCTTGGAAAGCACTGGCTTGTTCTTCAAATCCAGCTGTTCTAAAATAATTCACAACATCAATAACAGCCCAGTCAGCAGGATCCAGAGGTCTTCCATTTTCTACTGAACTGCAAAGCACAAATCCAGACAAGTAATCACTAAATATCTATAGTATCTGCTGCTTCTTTACAGACAACCCATGTACATTCCCTCCTTCTCTGTACCTCCAGGAAAAGTACCTTTCAACACACCTCCCACCACTCCAATACAGAACAGGCACTCCTGTTCTGTTCCTCTGTACCTGTTCTGTACCTCTCTCACTTCAGAAAAGAAGAAAGTACATGAATATTCACATCCGCCAAAGGTAGTCAGCCAGGATCTTTTCCTGTTGAGTGTGCTGCCTTTGCAGCTGGAGAACAAAGACTACCATGTCCGAACTACATAGTCTTTCAAGAGTGCAGGCTGTTCTCAACTACCAAGTATTTATAAAGAATTGCAGTTTGCAGATTACTCTTTTCCAAGATGAGATTATGCTTTCTTGTAACATAGATAAAAACTACTGGAAACCATCTTTACCTTGTGAAACAAGAATGAGAGGTACCAGCAATTGCTCAATATAGAATATCCTCTAAAGTTTGTTTTTGATTCAACTTTGGACAAATCTAGGGACTTTCTAAATAACTATGAATCACACTGTATGCTGCAGTTGGCCTTTTAAAAGCAGTTTATTTCACTTATCACATAGAATATACACATATTTCAGAGCAAGGAGCAAAAGGCCAGAGTTTTTTACTCTTGCTCATCACATAATGACTTACTTCATGAATTGCTCTGCTGATTGGGAATAGAGAAAAGCAACCCTCAGCAAAATTTAAAATGAGACTATCTGGCCAGCTTATCAAAACAACACTTTTTTTTTTTTCCTAAAAAAAAGCAAAGAAAGTCTTCCGATAAAGATTTTTGGTGTTGTACACATTCAGAGACCTAAGAAGTAAAATGCCATAAAAAAAAACAGCATAAAAACCTACAGGTATGTGTGGAAGCAGCACTCTATTTAAACCTCTGCATTTCCCCCGATATGTAAACTACCACTTGCGATGACTCATCTTCTACTTAAAGACAAACAAACTAAATCCCCAAAGCTCACTATTAAGAAAAGTAAAATTCCTAGGAGATACTGAATTTAATTTTTCTTGAACAGCAAATGAAAGACTTGACTTGTAAAAAATACCTCCCAACTCTATTTTGCTTATTTCAGCCCAAATGTACTGGTTTTCATAAAGCTCTTCTTTTACTGCTAGGGAACATACAGCTTGGTCCAGCCCCATCCCAGGCCCAACTGCAATGGCTTCAAGGGCACCACCTTCATCGTTAACTAATCTCAGGAAATAATTGCAAGTTCCTCCCTCAAGGAGTAGCATGGCATGTGGCAGACTGTTGGAGACTGGCTGGATTTTAGCCCATCTACCCGCACAGATGCTCATTTGGCTTCTAGACAGCCTCCTCCTTGCCCTGCCGTTGTGCATGGCTGGAATCTTTAGATAAGAAAGGGGAATATATAACAGCCATGGCTCAGCCATACACCAGCTTATGCCAGGCATCCTGGATGCTGTAAAACCTTAAGAGGGCTTGCATTTTAGGCTTCATAACCAGGAATTCATACCAATTGTATGAACAATGAATAAAGATTTAGCTTGTCTGCTTTTCACCACTGTCCCTGTGGCTTTATTGCCATCATGTGGCAGAAGCAGCAAGGCCTGAAAGGACATAGCTGTGAACAGATTTTATCCAATCTATTTATAACGACTTCAGGAAAGTGCCAAATACCTCCTCTGTAGATATGCACATGCTACTATATGCTTTCATTTAGAAGCCACAGCTTCTGATCAGTTTAATTACAATCACCATCAGTTAAAAACAAAAAAACAAAAAAAACACCACTGCAATTAGTAGTTGAACTTTTATCACGCAAGCCTTGGGGGAAAACGATTAAATGTAAACGGTCTTTGCTTTGACTGCTGCCCTTCTCCTGCCTGCCATGGAGTCCTGGTTGTAGAAGAAAAACAGGTAACTGGAGGTGGCTTCTGAGGGACACACACAGTATAACCTACACATAGTCACTAAGTAGGGAAGTGCATTTTGTATTGGTGTGGTGTAGCCAATGTCTCAAATGAAGAGGAAGGATACCCATATTAATGGCCACCAACAGATCTTTTGATGCTGTGTCATAATCAGGTGTTTCAACAGCATTCTGAAGTGACCATTATTACTGCTATTGCTTATATTATTTAGTGCCAGGGAACGTAAGCATTGGCATGTTTTTGTGGAAGGCTTGTAGCAAAGAGATATGAAGGAAAAGAACAAGGTGCAGCTTTGTAAAGTGTTGCAATCTGAAAGGACAGATGATGAACTCTATCCAGTTCCCTTTCTTTGTGTTATATATCACCACAGCATCTGTAAGCCTAACACAGCCCAGCCAATTTTTCCGCACAGAAATGCACTTTTCAGGTCATAACTTAAATTAGGACTAATAATTCTCACTGAAAAACTGCTGACCTTTAGGAATATGGAAATGCCTCTAGAACAGATCCTATCCCTTAGTTTGCAGTCCACCACACTGAAGAAAATTGTAGAGCTGTGCACACCATGTCTCTGTCTTATTTGCACCCTAGGTCTGTAGTAGTAACCTAGTAGTTTAGGGCTTCTTCGGCAAACAGTTTAAAATATCTATTTTCAGAACCAAAACCAAAGACACGTGCTGTTGCTACTACTTCTCAGCTCAGGGTGGCTGGGTAGTCAGCAGAGAAATGTGCATGCCTCTTTCAAAGAGAGGAGACATATTCCACGTGGGACACTTTTCCCCATCAGGCATTGGTTCTGAAAAAGCCACTAGCTGAAAGTACAAAGACTCCCGTGGGCATCGTTTCCTGCTTTGACTTTTGCAAGTCCTTCCTCAGGAGTTTCACTGTTTCAGTCACAATGGGTGGTGAAAAAAGTAAAAACTGACAGATGAGCAAAGATAGAGTATTGGTTACAGGGCTACCACTTGCTTTGATCTCTGGTTGAAATTAGAAATCAATGGAAAAAGGGACACTCCCAACTTACTAGTTTCTGCATCTCTCCATTGTGGTATGTCCTCCCACATAACCACTTTTAATTACATCAATGCCTGAGACTCTTCAATTTCAAAGCAGAAATAAAAGTAATGGAGAATACAGAAGGTTTGAAACAAACAAAGATGGAGATTCCCCACCCTTGCCAACCACATTAAGTCAATGAAAAACTACAATGAAAACTGATGTGCTGTTTACATAAACTTAACACCACGGAATCACTTACTTTTTGACATCCAGAGAGCCATTTTCCTTGTTTTCCATGTCAACGGTTAGCATGGGGAGGAGATTTCTTCAGCAACTATCAACAGGAGGGGAAAAAGCCACATTCAATTATTGGTGGTACGAACAGCGCAATATTATGCTAACAGAAACAAGCAGTATACAGACACAACCATTTCCACCTGAGAGCAAAAGCACTGTCAAAGACTGCTTTCGTCAGAAGCCTGGCAAAGCCAGTAATAGCTAATGAACTAGGAAAAGTTTCCCCATGCTTTTAACACAAACGTTTCCTGCCTGAAAATCAAGGAACGTAATACCACATTTGATTTTTTTTAAGCTAATAAAATTTTGATGTACACTATATCTAGCGAGATTGACCTGCGATACGTACATAGCTAGAGCCCGTATGTGCTTACAATGCCTTTGGTCACCCCGCTATGCTGAGCATCCCGAATTGGTGTGCAGTCCTATCCCTAGTGAGGTTTAAGTCCATGTCTTTGTTTTACAAACGGGCAACCTGAGGCACAGATGAGCGTCGTGATTTCTACCCAAGTCACACATAACGCTGGAAAGCCAAGTTACTGATCGAGCCCAAAACTCCTGAGGCCTAATCCCGTACCTTATCCGTACGACCATCCTTCCTGCACTAGCACAGCCTCTTCTGTGGGTACGCTGAACTCTGAAAAGGAAAGGACCGTACAAAGGACACAGGAGACAACCTGGTTTCCCTCCTCGTGTCGTGCCAGAGCGCTTTCACTGCACAGCGTTTTCCACCGCTCCAAGGAACAGGCAGAACCGACCCCAGCCCTTCCTTTCTGCTCTCAGGGAAGACATTCCTATTGCCGAGAGCACCACGAACTAACCGAGGGCTCAGGACGCTCCTGCTGTCGCGCTAATGGACGCCGGCGAAATGTCACAGCGCTCAGGGAAGTACCCAACAGGGAAACCATGCTCTTCAGCCACAACTTTACAAACACAGCCGATAGCAATTAACACCGCTCGACAAAAAAAAATAAAATAAAATAAACAAGAAAATAAAGGACCCTTTATTACACAGGCACCGGCGCAAGAAGCACCGAGGAGGGAGGCAGCGACGAACTGATGGCGGGGGCTCTCAGAGCCGCTGCCCGAGGAGCTCGCCCGGTTCACCCGAGGTGACCGCGGGCTGACAGCCGCGGCCCCACCGCCCACGGCTGCCCCCGCCCGGCCGGGGCTCCCCGCCCGCTCCCGGACCGCGGGGGGCTCCCGGCGCTGCCCCGCTGCCGGCGGGGAGGGCTCCGCGCACCATTTTGGGAGCATCTCCGAGCCCTCTCCCGCCGGCGTCGTCGGGGATCCCGGCCGGGGGAAGCGAAGACGGAGACACCTACCTAGGAGCCACTAAACCAAAGCATCGCTACGCGCTGCTCCGGCCCGGCGGAGCATCCCCCCCCCCCACCCCGCCGCCCCCGGCCGCCCCCCCGCCGGCAGCGGGGCGCTGGGAGGCGGCTCCGGGTGACACCGGGCGGCGGCCCCGCCTGGCTCCCGGCCCGCCTCACGCCGCCGCCACACGCGGCCCGCAGCGGCCGCCGCCCGCGACATGGCGGCCGCGTTAAAGGCGCCGCGCCTACCCGCGGGCAGGAGAAGGGCTTCAAATTCCTGTCAGAAAGGAGTTCGGCGGCCTGCGGAGGGGGAGGGAGGGGGGGGACACGGAGGGTGCCGGGCTTCCTCTGGAAGCGGAGCGTCGCGGGGTCGGGGTGGGGAGAAAGAGGTGACAAAGGACAGCGCGGCCCGGCCACCGCAGCCGTAGCACGGCGGGGACCCCGGGCAGAGAGGAGGTGCAGGCAAGGCTGCCCGAAGAAGGGCCGCGGCTCTCCCCTGGAGGCACCGCACTTCGCGGGGACACTCACGTATTCCCAGGGGAGCCGTTGTACGGCGAGGTGGAACTCCAAGTGCCTACAAATGGCGAAGGCTGGACTACCGAGTATAAAATTTAACCCAGAGGTTAAAAATTTTTTTGGCAAATTTCTTCAGCAATTGCTTTTTTTTTTTTTCTTCCCTGTAATATACTCATTTTTTATTTATTCTCCCAAATTTCCCTTGATTCGGGTATGCACCTTCTAATTGAATACAAGTGTTGCACGGATGACACGCTACCAGTGCTTGGGAAATCCAGTGAGCACTACTAAGCGATGTACCACCTCACCTGCCTTGCCCTTACGGTAGCTTCGCAGAGCAGTGCCCCAGCCACAGCTCAGATGCAATGACCATTAACCAGTGACCATCCTTAACAGTCAGGTTCTGGACAAATCTGTAGGATGTTTCACTTGCAGAATTTCCTTTCAAATAAAACCACTCCCAGTCACACCCTTGTTGTTTGCTTGGAGGAGAGGGGGACATGACAAAGTACCTGGGAGGTCGTGCAGAACAGATAGGTGACTTCAGCCTGCTCCTGCAGAGTCAGTCTGAGCTCCGTGACACAACTGATACCATTGCACTGACAGCCTGCTGGCTGTCCAAATGCAGGGCTGTCCCAGGCACTGCATGCCTGTCTCACCCCCAGCAGTCAAGTGCATCCTGGCTGCAATCTGTGCCACCAAACTGTTAACAGGACACAGCTACAAGTACAAAAAATCACAGTGGTAGTTTAGCACAAAGGACTGTAGACATGACCCCCTTGTGCATTTCATTTTGCCTTAACTTACATGCTGCCAAATTGATAACCAAAATACACAAAAACTATGCAAATAAAGTGATGAATATTGATAGGTGCATTGAAAACTAGTAACTGTGTGAGTCTTCACTGCTTTGGACTTTAAATAAATGCAGATAAACAAGTTATATAAAGTATTAAACATACTGCACCCTAAAGAAAATGCTCTTTACTTCACATCCCAGTGCATACGGTAAAATCTGGCATATTTGTCTTGGACAAGTCACACATGGCAACTCTTTTTTGTTTCTTGAGAAATAAGCATTCTAAATGAGGCCATAATGAGTTTTCTACATCAGCTGATTTCTAACTTTGGTAACGAACTGACATTTGAGGATACAAATATAAACCAGTCCTTTTACTCACACTCTCCCATTCCTTCCATCATGTTCTTCAATTAATCCTGAGAGTATTTGATGAGAGGCTCACAGCGTACATGTTCCATCTAAAAGACCTTGAACAGCAGAGAGAGGAATTTTAAGAAAACAGGCTGTGGAAAAAATTCAATGTGGAACACGATCTGTGGCTTGCATTTTCATTCATTGGAGTAATGTGATTTAATTACAGCAAGATTATATCTAGAGGGAGGCCATGCAGGAAACTGAATTAGGGGTTTTGTCTGACTACCTGCATCTAACTTCTGGCAAAAGCTATTTCCAGGCCATGTGAGAACAAAGTGAGACCAGAGCTTGCTGATCGGGGCCAAGGGGTCAGCCCTGCGTGGCTCTCAGTCTCTGCCATTTCATACATACAAGTAGGTGTGGATTATTGGAAACTGCTTGATCCTGTCTCCTGGGTATTGGAAAATGCCAGTTTTCTGCTGAAAAGCTTTTTTTTGATGTCCCTGGCAGTGATAGCAGGACATGCAGACAAATACATCACATGGCTGGCATGGGAAAGTGCCATGGACACCAAATTCCAGCTCACCCAGAGCAAAACAAAGCCCTTTAGACCCTTATTCATCCTTTTTTAAAAATGGGGCTAAATGTGTTCATTGGGAAAGTTAAAAACAGTGAAGGACTTTTGTGCTTTCAGGCAGAGGGAAGCCAAGAGCGCTCCCCTACATAAACTAGCCCTACACAACGCAGAGTGGGCGATATGCCCATGTACAACACATCTCTCTCTGTCAGCAAGGAACACAAAGCTTGGAGATGCCCTGTGAGATCCCTCATGGAGCAGTGGGGGCCTGGCACCTGCTGCGACAGTGGGGACGTGGCTGTGGCCTAGTGCCAGAGGGGAAGCAGGCTGGCCCAACCTTACTGCCCACTGGCAGCTGGGGGGGCTACTGGGAGCTGAAGTCCTGCTACCACTGCAAGGGCAGACAGGCGTGTTGGGCCTGGTCCTGCCACTGGCACCTGCTGTCCAGAGCCTGTGATATGGCTTCTGGCAGAGCCTCTGGCACCAGAGACATTGCCGAGGAGCGGGATGTGGGGAGAGCTGTTGTTTCTAAGTGATTTCTGTCATAGGTGTGGAAGTGGCAGGGGTTTACACTGGCTGCTTACCACCCAAACTAGTTTACAGTTATTTCTAGCCTCTTAATAACAGCAGTCTAAAAATAGTCTAGAAATCCCCTTTGCATCATTTCTTTCTGAGCAAAGTAGGACTTGGAAGGGACCTTCCAGGCTATGTAGGCTGATCTGCCCCAAGAGCAAGCCCCCATGCAGCCACCTCCACACTTAGCCTTCTCCAGTCAGAAAGCCTGAGCCATAGTCTCCCCCCATCAGTGGTTAGGAAATTTTAATTTACTGTCTGGGTGACCAACCCCTTTTAGACACCCCATGATAAGCTTTCTATTTTCTGAGCTCATTCCCCTTTCCTCCTTGAGTACATTCACCTTGCACGAGCAGACATTTGGAGCTGCACTTATGGGTGCAGTAGTATCTTGAAAGTACCTTCCACTTTCCTGTCTACTCTGAATAGTCCTGCATCCATGCTACACTTAGAACAGTCTTTTATTACATACACATCACACCCATATGGCACTGGTGCTCCTGGTCATCCTGTAACTGGAAGTACCTCAGGGTTCTTTCCACAGTCACTGGTATCTGTTGTGCACCCAGAAAGAAAAGTCCTTGTTACTGGCTCTGGCTTTGTCTTTCCAACACTTTGCTCCTAGAAAACTCTCCTCAGGTAAAGATGGGGTCTTTTCCACTCCAATCTATTCTGACTTGCTTGCATGGAGTTTTGCCACTCACCTTGATGCTCAGCATCAACTGCTGAGTACCCATCCTCCTGCTCTACCCTCACTCCTTGGGCATTTTGTGGAGGCACAAGGAACAGTTCCCAGCAAGGTTCCCCAATCCACCCACCAAGTCCAGCAGTGAAGCTTCTCTCTTCAATTCATGTATCGGCTGGGAAGGTCATCCAAGAGCCTTGCCATGTCTTCCTCACGGCCCCCTTCTGAACCATGCAGGGTTCTCTGCATGGCCAAGCATTTCCATGTTGCTCTGAAGTCCTGCGTAAAGCCTAGACAAAAGGCCAAAGTTAGAACTAGTGACAAGCAGGTGTGGGAAGGCAGGCAGAAAACCTGTAGCAAGAATATGCCAGAGTGTCTTGTACCATACCAATCTGGCACTCATTCCTAATGTACTTAAGCTGAAGTGCATGTTTAAGTACTAGGTCAGAGCACAGGAGCCACTCAGCCTTGATTTATGATCCATGCGGTTACCTGGGTAGACTCTTGCAAGGTAAAAACCAGGGTCCATAGATGTGCAAAATCTTTTGCAATAGCTCTGGGTTTCAGGATCAGCACATGGGTTAGGGAGCCTTGCAGGTACATAATGCTGAATCAGCAACACAGCTCCCTTGCGGCACATCTGTGGGGGAGGATGGCAAAGACCCTCTGTTTTGTCCTGTTGGAGAATCCCTTAAATTTTTTTGATTGTATTTTATTGATTATATAGGGGGGATTTCAATGAAAACAAAGCTGAGCAAGAGTGACTAAGAACGTCCTTTTTACAGCTTCTTAAAATAAGATAAATGTTTACCGTAGGTAGGGGAAGGTTTAATTAGAGCGTTTACATGATAAATTACATACTCTGCTTTTCCTGTTTTACACTGGATTTGTAACTGTAGTAAATTGGAGCATTTTCAGAGATGGACAAAGTACCAGCTCTTGGATGCTTTCTAATAAAAGGCCTTGTGCTTGCACTGCCTTCACCTTGAGGGTTTTACAACTGACTTCTCTTTCGGAAACCGTGCTCCCTCTGCCTGTTCTGTGTGATGCAGTGTTAGTAGAAAGCTCACTCCTTCATTGAGTTACAGCATTTTAACTCCATCAGTACAGTTTATGAACACATTCTGCAAATACTCAGTGTTATTATGCTAGGATCCTTTTTACACAATAAATATTGTTCAATCTTTTTCCTAAGCATGTGAATCTCCAGTAAGATGACTGGAATTGTATCCTTCTCAGATGAGGCTAAAAAAGAAAGGTCACTGCAATGCAAGGCCAGGGGGTACCTTTCTGCTTTTTTTTTTTTTTTTTTTTTTCCTGTGGTGTGCAAGACTGAATTGCTCAAGCAAATCTTCCTGCATGTGGATTATATCCACTTCACTTAGAATTTCCTGCCCTACTTGTTTTGTTGTGCTCCTTCTTATCCTGGTGATTACCCTATATTTAACAAAGCTACTGTCTGGACATAAATACTTGTTAATTAAGCACATACT